AATCATATTAAAAATTTCTTGTTCTTGTCTTCATATGATGGTGTATGTCATTCTGATGACCTTTACTATCTTTTTGATACGATTATTCCTTATTGGCCCTGGCCATCCTCCGAAGTAGAAGAGGCAAGAACAGTTCGAGATCGTGTTGTAAGGCTTTGGACTAATTTCGCGAAATACGGGTAAGTGAAGCTACTTAAATTTTCATGAATTTCATTTCTTTCTTTTCATTTCATCCAGAAATCCAACTCCAAATACTGATAATCTTGTGAATCAAAATTGGCCACCTTTTGATCAGACGACTCGAACTTATTTAGAAATTGGAAAAGAATTGACGGTTAAGAATGAACCAAATAGATTGGAGGAATTGCATAACTTCCAGTTGTTATTTGCATTGGTTTTTTAAAAGTCAATATCTGTAGTCATGCACTGTTAAATTGGTCATGGATATTAATTATGATTTTCATTCTTTGATTTTTGGTTAGTTTTATTAACATGAAAAGGGAAAATATCTGATTCGAATTATTCCAAATTCGAGACAAGATTAAATATAAATTTCTTGCCTTCGAGATTGAATTTGACGTTTGGATGTGACCTTAATTAAATGTAAATAATTTACTTAATTCAGAAATCATTTATGAAAATCTCAGGGAATTTCAAAGAATATTGAAAATACAATAAACTTTTGAAATTTAATTTATTTGGTTTGATGCATGGATTCGATGAACTTTCAGATAAAATTGAAAATTTATTTCAAAATCTTCAATCATGTCATTTAAATTCCTTCTTTAATAAATTTATTTATCAAATTGAGTAATTATAGTTAAGTAAGTAGTGATTGCAGCAATTATTGATAATGCAATTGTCCAATCGATGTTAAACAACCCGCAGGTGAAAATTATTGGACGATTAATAATTTTTTTCTTCAGAGCTGAAATCTGAAAACATTTTAATATATTAGAAAAATTAATTGTCATAAATTATTCTCAATGTCTCACTTTTTCTAAACTTTCTTTGTTTTCAATGTAGTTCGAGACTCTCTCAAGATGAATGAACAAATTTCTTCCTTTCTGCGATGCTTGAACCGAAACATGAATCGATAATAGTGAAGGAAAAACAAGATTAAGCATCCAAAAACAAAATTCACTGTAAATCCAGCTGTCAAAGATTATTCCAGTTGACAAAACTTTGACTGTGACAAACGCGAAAAATGCTTCAAAAAGCAATGCAACTGCAAAGAGTGGAATTAACTGCAAGTAAAGTAAGAAATTTTCACTGATTTTAAATCTTCGAACTGAAGTCAAATACTTGTCTTGTGAATACTGAATTAATTTCTTCAGAGATATCTGCTAATAAATCATACAAAATTCCAACATCTTGCATGTCTTTCTTCTGAACTTTGAAAATTTCATATGGCTCGTTTGGTAGGATTAAGCTTGAAGCAATAATTTGTTGAATAATTAAATGAATCAGACCAAAATATACTTAATTTACCTCATATTATTCTGCAAGGCATCTAAACGAGTGTTGACACAGTTAACACTTCCAATAAACTGCAAATAAATTATCCACCAGACCTCCATGATGAGATAGTATAATAATATGTGTAGAACTAATTCAGTTGAAATATTATTAATAATAAAGTCATTCCGTAATTTCGAAATGAATACTCTCTGAACAATAAAAACTATTGCAATTGTTAGTGGAATGATTGAAGCAAAAGTGAAATGAAAACCTCTTTTGTGAACGATTTGAAATCTCCAGTTAAGCGAATGAAGCTTTTCATCAAAGTTTCGGATGAAGCAAAGGACATTCCCAATACGATGACGTTTAAAATAATTGAAAACAGGGAAAAATGGTGTGACAATATAAATTAGAATGAAACTTAATTTCCGAATATGATCCAGAAGTTCTGAATGAAGTCCAAATAGGTTATTGAATGTAAAGATTAATGTTCGAACTTTGACAACAGAAAGAGCAAACCAGCCAAAAACTGACACTAAAAGTTGAACGTAGTTGAACGATTTCATTTCAATATTTAAAGAGTTTTTATTTATTTCGTAAGGTGCCAAGCCGATTATCTTCAAAAGAAGAAAAAAAATTCTTGTCGAGTAGAAAATATCTTTAGCAATTTTTGACATTTCTACAATTGTGACTTTGTTTACGAAGTTTTATTAAGTAACTGCTTATTAAGTAACTGCTTGTATTGAATTGAATCAATAAGTCATTGAGTTCCATTAAGTTTCAGGTTATTCAAATAATTTAATTTCCTTGCTATCATCAATGAAAAATGTCATAATCCGTTAAATAATTAATTCAGTTTTCGTTTAATTATCAGGAAAACTATCAGAGAGAAGTAAAGGAAGAAGAATTAATCACTTAATGGAAAATGTTTATAACATCCAATGGATATTAACTCACTTCAAAATTTATTTTTCCTACTTTCCCTCCCGTTGAGATGAAATATTGTAATAAATTTTTAAAGGACAAGAAACTGTTCAGTTTTAGAGTGTTAAAATTATGATAAGATATTTCCTTATCACGCTCACAATATGTGATGGAATTAAACGAAACATTTATTCTGGATATGCATGTCACTCGTAGCTTAATCTTCTTCTACATGCTACTCACGATTTATAATTTCGAGTGAATTTGTGAGAGTACGCAATGTAAGCGTCTCACATAAATTAATGTAACGAGCAAGAATTATTATAAATTGCACCCAATAAATCACAAGTTGAAGCTGAAATTTGTGAAGCAAACAAACGAAGGAGAAAGAAAAAAGGGAGTAAACAGCTTCCACATTCAGTCATTCATCCATCTGCTTTTCCGTTCATTATTCTCTTAACACAAGTGTTCCAAGTTCCACGGATTTTCACATCGAAACCATGAAGTTATGTGGTACGTGAAGAAATTTATTCTTTTATTTTCTTTTTCTGATAGTGAAGCGTGAATTAATCATTAAATGTTATGGAAAGCTGTCTATCTATGACTAAAGGAAGACTTTGTAAGAAACTTTAAGAAAGATTTCTTTTAAGAAGAAGTAGCAGAGCTTCAGAAAATAAGGTAAAAAATATTGGAACATAAAATGTGTCGGGCTGGTGTGGATAAATATATAAGAATGTATAGATGAAAACTATTCCCAAAAGGGAAACCATTGACTCTCATAAAACCTGAGAATATGAAATTCCTGTCAAAATCTTATTGCACCATAAAGTCCTTATCTTTATAGCTCGCAATACCTTTTCGTTTGTTGACGGTAATAACATCATATTTTCTCATTTTTCTTCTTCTATCCATCCGCCTCCATCCTCCATCTTAATACCTACATATTGAATTTCAGTTTTTCTCTCTTCTAACAAATGTTGCGAGCTTTTATTGAGCAATTATGTCGAATGTATAAAATATATTATGTGAATGAGAGCTTCATGGAACGGAAAAACATTTCGAATGGAAATTCATGAGATCGCGTTGCCTTTTCAAGGGGAAAAATGTTTCATTCTTTCTTTCCTTTTGTTGGTTCAATATTTGATGCTTTAATCGGCTTCTTTCTTAAGATTTCAACATAATGAATAATTCAATTTGATTTTCAAATGTTGCAATTGAAATTCCACTAAATATTGTGTCTGATCTTCAGACGTTTTGAAAAACTTTAAGAAATAATCGATTTTCTATTCATTTTTACTAGACATCGTAGGTTATACATCAACAGCTTACATAATGTTCTTCATATGTTACCAAAAGTTTCATGTTCACCCACAATTCTGGCGACTTTTTTTAGTTTGTTAGTGGAAATTTCGTCTAGAAAGTAAATAGAAGAAATTCCTCCCCCTTTTCCTTCTCCCCCGTCTTAGATGACGGCATACATTTGAGTACTTTCTGTATGCAACGATTGCAATGATGAAAAACGACCCTCACTAACGTTCTTTTGATTTTTCCTTTCCTTCATATCTTCCACCCTCACAAATGTTAGATACGTTTAAAGAACTGTTCTTAGCAAGTGGTGATGGCAATTTACAGAATGTAAAAATTAAATGTGTTTGTGATTTAGTGTAAATGTGTGTTGAGAACTGGCATTGAAAATAAAATTGTGGATTTCTGATGAATTTCAATTGGAAATTTATTCACACAAGAAAGTGGCAGTGAATCGTGTAATCCATTTCTTCCCTTCCTCATAACATATCAAAGTTTGTATCATCGAAAGAAAGAGAAATGTGTGTAAATTACGGTTTTCGATCCGCTTCGTTTATTGAAGTAACATCAAGCTACGCGGCAACGTGCAATGGAATTTTCATAACATTTTGTTTCAATAACATTTTCCCTACTTTTCCATTCCACCCTCCTTTTGAGATGTTAATAAATCTATGGAAAATAATTTTTACGCAAACAGAAAACTAGGGTTGGATGTGCTTTATGATATCGTGAAAAGAAGCGTTGAAGATTCTTCTCTACATTCCGTTGATGTCTTGCGGCAATGTACAACAAACGACTCATCATCTCGAGAATTTTTCATTATGAAAAGTTAAAAAGATTCAACTTAAATATTATTCACATAATTAATCTGGAAAAACAGCTCAGAAGTAATCTTGTTAATTGGATTAACATTTAGATCGACAACTTTTGACTTTAAAATTGGAAGATAAATACTTGCGAGAAACATTAAGTAACGTTTTTGTTTTAATGATAATTAAAAGTCCCAGAAAAATATTTTCATTCTCTTCAAATTAATAATGAACGTTCTAAGAAAATTGAGAAAATTTCGAAGATATTTAAGTGTTGGTGAAGAAATTTCAATAATTTGTATGAAAGACAAGGAAAAGTTTGACATTTTTCACTTTAATGAATTCTTGAACGGAAAATTTCCTGAAAATATATTTCAGTGTTAAAGAAATTTATAAATTTTGTATGATTTTCCTGTGAGCAAAGCTCTAAATTAATCATAATGAAAGATATTGTTAAGTCAAAAATTCTCAGAAAAATCATTTCAAGTTTGAAATTGTGTTGAAAACAGATACAAATTTATTTTACTTGATTGCTTGTAAAAATTTCTTAAAAATTGTAAAGTATGATTAAATATGTTATCTCAAGTTATGACGACGTCAGCACGAATTCATAAAGAGTATTAAAAAAGATTCTTTTTAAACTTATTCAACAACTTTTCATGATTTCATTTCTATGTAATTTTCTCGTTGAAAGAGTTGAAATGGGAAAAAAGCCTCCAACTTGTGCCGAGCTTATCGCTGTTGACAAAGACAACTGTGACACTTTTTTGATTAAGTCTGAAAATTTGATTCTTGTTTTCTATTTATTTTTTCCGCTACTTTTACGCAACTCTTGTACGTATACCAACATGAACATAATCAAGAACATTTATCATAGCGGAAAATTCAATTTCTCACCTCACATTTTTCCTTCTATGCATAACTGAAATTCTTTTCTTCTTCTGGTTGCTGCTGGCAGAGTTAGATAAGAAAATCGTCAAGATTTTCTTCTTTCATGAGATGAAATAAGTAAGATGTTCACGTCAAATTTTAAGAATTTTTAAGTCGCAATTTGCATGTTTCTTATCTCACTCAAAGGCTTTTCCTTCCTTATGCTTGACTCATTTTTTTAAGATGATGTGAGATTAAAAATTCATTCTTTTGTGTGTTTTGTTATCATAAAATTAGGTTTAATTTTAATAATTATTGTTAATGTTAATACAAGGTATAAAATGTTGAAACGAATTTATATCTTTCCGTTGCATGTAAATATTTATTTTTAATTTACGCATATCATAAATAAATATACATAAAATATTCGAATCACAATATCTTGGGATTATCTCAATCCATTGAACTTCTCGGATATTTGTATAATTTCAATGAATTTCTTATTCCTTGAAATTTCACAAAATTCGTACATTGAAAGTTATCTAACACCAAAAACAAAAAGCAAAGAACTTCTCTACATATTCAATTGAATTTTCAATGTAAAATAAAATCTTCCCAATCTTTTATATAAAATTCGAAAAGAGAAGCAAACTCACGTTTTCAGTTCATAAAAGCTTTAAAAGTTCAAAGCTCTGTTACGAATTGCAATTGATACGATGATTCGACTTCAAAGGATTCTTCTTCTTCGATTTGCTTTGAAGAAATATGAGATGAAAATAAATGATTTTCCAGCTTCTTCACAATTTACAACGTGAACAAATGATTAAAGTTGTAGGGTAAGTCTTGACAGAAGAACATGAATTATAGGAAATTAAAAGGTTCCTGTGCAACATAAAAAAGGGATGAATGTAGGACATTAAAGAGTAAAAGGGATTCAAGATTCATGATGAATGAACGACATTGTAGAGAAAGTTGTCGAACAAAGCCACAAAAATCATGAAAAATGTCATTTTAAGGACAATAAATTGAATTTATGTTGTAACGTTATGTTATTCATGAGAATTTATGTTGAAAGCATTTTTGATTGTAAATTTTTACAGCGCAACTGTTGGTGATCTTTGAGAATTTTATTTCAGGTTTTGAGAAGCTTATGTAAAGTATGCTTCGTATTTGAGAATCTAATTCAGCAATTATTTTTATTTTACTTTGCTTTCAGAATGGAAACATGCATCTTTGTATGTTTTCGACAAAAATCCGCAATGCTAGCAGATTATTGTGAAAATTTATTTAAATTTTCTTCTAATGCTTCGTTTACATAAAATACTTTAGTCTCGTTGTCACGTTTCTGAAATAATTGACTTTTAAAGTTTGAGAATAAGCCACAGATTCATTTTTATGCTGCTTACCTGTTAAATTGTTGAATTTATGAGCAGATAAAGAAAGCACAGAAAAAATGCATAAAGTGTAGTGATTGTCGAAGTTTTTCAAGCATGAAAAATCGGCTTTTAAGCGTTGTGAACAATAGAAGAGTTTTTATCGTCACGTTTGGGATGCGAAATGAAAAAAGAAGATTTTGAATATTTGAATGTTGAACCTTCGAGGTATTACGATGCTACTTTATGACTTAAATTGCAAAAGTTTAGTTTCCTCCTTTGTTACATTTTTCATGATTTTCGTTGCAAAATTTTCCAGACGTTTTTTGTTTCTTTTGCAATGATTGTTTGGTGAAAGAAAAAGTTTTAGGAAGGAGTAAATATACATCAATGTTTTGACATTATCAAGTTGAATAAATGCTTTAATTAATTTCATTTTAATGAAAGCATTTTGTTATGACAAATTTGTTCCTCTAACAACCTTAATTTCCTTCACAACATCACAAGCAATTGTTATCAAATTCAAGTTCTGATTGAGCATGTTGTTACGTAAATGTTTCATAAAAGCATCAAATTTAAGCTCATCCTTCATTCTCCTTTATGGTGTCTATGGTAAATAAATATGTTCATGAAATTGAATACCATTTCCTGTCATTATGTCATCAATCTGAGATATTCGAGATATGTTTGCGATACATTTAGGAACGTACATATTTCTGACATAAATTGCTAGGTAACTACAAGGAGCGAGTATAAAATTTCAAGTAGCTTCTCATTTTTAAATCAGAAAAGAAAATTTAAAATTTCGTTTGTTTTATGTAATTATTTATTTCCATTTTATAAATGCCATAAACAAAGGCAACACAAGTGAAGCGGAAAACCATAAAAATATGTTTAATTGCAATATTTCATGTTCAAAACTTTCTTTATAAAATTTTATGTTTTCAATTAATTTCAGATTGTAAACAACTTTCCAACATGTGAAAATGCTACAACCATGCAGCTAAAGTGACAAATGTGTGAAAAAATATTCACTGTGATTTGTGGAAACTTTTTGTATCTAAAAACTTTGAAACTTTTGCGATAGCAAGCTTTTCCTGACTCACAAAGTAATTTATTTGTCACATTCTTAACTTTGATGGAACTCATGGAAGGAGAAGTTTGACCTTCCTAGTGAAAGAGAATTGGAAAAAGATTCTTCAAGGAATTTAATTCAAGATTGAGATCAAAGATATTTCAGACATCAAAGCTTTCTTTGGACTTAAGAGAAATGAAAGAAAGTTCTAATGAAAATGAATTGAACGGATAGGATTTGACGATTTCTAAAAAGGAAACAGAAAGAGGAAGTAAAACAAAAAATCGTATTTCATATCAATGACAGAAATATTTTTATTTTGATCTATTGAAAGCCTCATTTGCAAGGAAATTTTAAAATAAAATCGATTGATGAATGTTCTCCTGTCTTAAAAATTCTTTTACCTTGGAATTCCAGCACTGAAAAATTTAAAATTAATATTTGAAATGTCGTGAATTTATAAACAATGAAAGGGAAAAACTTACGAAATTTGTGATTCGATTCCGACATGATCTGAACCACGTAAGATCTTGAAGAAACCGTTGTCGCCCCAATCACTGTTCCAGCTGTTGGCAACTAACCAATATTTGTTACCATTTTCAACTCCCCAGCCAAGAATACGAATTGCATGTCCACCGAGAGCCTTGCCAGTAACGTGTTGATAAACTCCCGACTTGTATTGAACGAAATCCTCGTAAACAGTGAAAGCTCCTTCAACTGGACCATTCTCAAAGATTTCCTGCTTAATATGATTCTCATCCCGCTTTATTGAATAACTTTTCTGTCCAAAATGTTTATCAGCTTTGAAGTCAACTTTGTAGAGAGCATTCGTGCATTTATTTTGACACTTTGGTGTTGATCCTTCACCACTGCATGGCAATCTTGTTCCGTTGACATGATGCTCACATGGTTTAATTTGATATGGTTGACAACCAATGCTTGAGTTGTAAGGTCCACCACTTACAATTCCCTTACGTACCCAATAACTCCATGCTGAGCCAGGGAAGCCTCCATTGCATCCGAAGCCACAAGTGTGACAACAAGTCACAAGATGTTCAGATGAGAAATGGAAGTTTACAGTGCCATTTGAATGGATACATACACGATCACTCATTGCTTCAACAGCACCGAAAGCCTGCATTATTAAACGTTAAAAGTAAACATTGGAATTGTGAGGATTTAAACTATTTACTTACCCAGCAGCTTCCACAACTTCCCTGTTAGTAAAGACTTTAATTATTTTATTTATTTTAACAAATTTTAATTCATTACCTGATCACGAATCTCACCGATCGTTGGACAGTTTGGCCAGTTTTCACGAGAATCAAAATTCTCAGGCAAATCATCAAAGCTTGCTGATCTTTCACCCATCACAAGCTCCGGTAAACGGAAGTCTTTCGCGTCTGGATGAACTCCCATCATTCTTTTAAGGTCACTCACGTCAAAATCTTGATGGAAGTTTCGACCAGCCTTCCATGTTGTTGCTTTTTCATTGATTTCATGAATAAACTAAAATGTAAGAAGAGATACGAAGAATTTAATTAAATTAGTGCGCATAAAATTTGTGATCTATAGAAATTTTCTGTTTTCTTTTTTATCTCTTTACTTCGTCCGACAATGGATGGTGACAGGCTACAAAGGCTATCAGGCCTGCGAATACGATGAGTAGTTTCATTTCTTATCACTCGATTGAACAAAGAAAGATTCTTTCACTGAATTTAAGTGCACTTCTACTTTTGTTGACGATCAGGAATAAAATGAATGAATGACAAACAAAAATATCAACTGGTTGAAAAGATTTGAAAATTTTTTACAGTGTAGTGTGTATGAACGATGATTAAAATTGTAGGAGTGTGAATAAAATCACACACTTGAAGTGTGATGATGACAAATGTTTACAGCTGATAAGAAAACGTTTAATAGTGTTCGTGAGGATCATACAAAGTTGAGTTTGTGTTGTTTCTTCAAATATCCGATAATTTCTTCTTCTTCCTCTTTAAAATTACATCTAAGTGCTTTTTTCGTCAAACAAAAAATGAAATAAAGTTTGCCATAATTCTTTTCCACACTTATGTGGTTATCAATGATAACAATTGTATTGAATGTAAAAAGCTGAAAAGAATCTTTGATATGTATGCGATGAAAAAATCTTTAAACGCAAAGCGCTGTTATCTTTCACGAAAAGAATGTTAGTTTCCTTTTTATGCTTCAACTGATAAAAAAGAAAGAGGAAAGGATGAAAAGGATTGTTTGTCTGGAACTTTTATGGTTCATAGCATTATAAGAATAGATATTTTCTTGTTATCTTTCCTCTAAAACATTTCCTGACTTCGTTCGCTTTACATGCAAGGAACAAACAAGAAAGAAGAATTTTAATTTCGTTTTCTCGTCATTGATGCTTTTCCAGGTAAATTTCCTTTGTTTACTTATTTAAATCTGAAGTGCTGTGACATCAGGCACAAATGAGAACATTAAATATTCCGTAATTTAAAAGTTTTCATTGCAATTTTATTCAATTTAAATTTCCTTTTCTTCCTTATTAAGACTTCATTACGCGAAAGAATGTTTGAAAATAGTTAAAGTTCAGCGAATTCTACTACATATTGTTCGAAACGAGAATTTTCTCTATAAAAATTCCTGAAAATAAAGTTTTTAATTTCCTTCAATACTCTGGAAACATTCGAATAAAATCAAAAGCTTCAATAAATTTTTATTAAAATTGTTTTTTATTTTTCCTTTTCATTATAAACAATTTTCATTTTATAATTTCTGCTATTTACAAATATTTTAATAATTAAATTTTTCTGCTTGTTTGTGTAAACATCTTGAGACGATTTAGACGACGAGTTTGTCTGTTGATTTGGAATTTTTCAATCAATTTCTCCATCTCCAATCGACTATAAACATAATCCTTGTAAAGAGATTTATAAAAATTCAATTTAGAATTTTCTTTTGACTTTGACGTTTTAAAACGACAACTCGCCGGAAAATCGACTCGTGAAGCTTCTTTTCGTTTAAATTCTTTTCTTCGAGACATTTTCAATAAGTTTCCCTTTAAATTTCTTCCGCTTTGTATTTATGTCTCATGAAGAACGGAGAAAGATAAAACAAAATAAAAGTGAAAGTTGCAAGAATGAATTAAAACGAAAGTTTGGCAATTTATCGACTATGCCTTAAAAATCCTTTTGAGTTTTTCTTTTAAAGTTCTTTCTTCTATGGCAGTTCAATTCCACACATTTTTCCAATTTCTTTTTCCACCCGAGAGTAACTTTTTTCTTACTTTTTCTATTAGTCTTCCGTAATATTTGCTAAGGGACCAACAATCGCTCTTTATGTATCTATTTGGTATGAAATCAAAGAACTTTAGTCTTCTAATGTGTGTCTACTTTGTCTTCCATCATTCATCATAACTCGAGCTTACACTATTGGACGAAATTTTTATTTAAAAGAATTTCTTGATTTTTTTTTTGATTAGCAATTTTATAATGAGCTGCATTGATGATGGTTTCAGGAAGAATCATCATTTCTTCCGTTTCCTTCGAGATTCATCATCAAATATGAATGATTTGGAGGGACGCAAGGAATTGATTTAATTTTTTAGGCTTAAATTTAATGAATTAAATGCAATCGCGTTGTGAAGAAGTTAACACGACTTTTGGAGAGGTTTTTAAAAAATCTTCCATCAAAGTGTTAACTTGCATTATGGATGTGTTTATGGGTGAAAACATTTAAAATAAATTTGTGCAACTTCCTTCTCTTCATTTACTTATTTTTATTTATTTAAATTTAGTTCAATTATTTTATTTATTTAATTTTCACTATAACAACTTCCGCTTAATGAAAATGACATTTAATTGGTGCAGTTCATTTACGTTCAAATTTCTCTTTTAATTTTGTTTTTCACTAATTGAATTGTTGATTGAAGAATGAATTTAATGCATGGATGTGTGAAAGGAAAAGTTTTCATGACGTGAATGTGCAAGAAAGGTTAAAGTTATCTCTTTATGATTTTACATCGTTTACGATTCATTTCTTTCTATTTAGTCTTAGACAAAGGAAGGAAAAACAGAATTTATTAACAATTTTCATCTCTTTTGGGACTTTCATTTGACAAATAAAATTTAATTTTACTCTCTTCTTTAAACTTATTTACATCTTTTCATTATCATCAATTAAATATAAATTTTCTTTATGTTTTTCATTAATTTGTTTCTTTGTTGTTTTATTCCTGTTTTCATCTCAATTAGACTTTAATTTTTACTTCGATTATTATTAAAAACAAAACTCATTTTCCACTCTCTCTCTTAATGGTTTTCCCATTTCCTTTTTTTCTTCTTCTTCTTCTTTCTTTATAACAAAATTTGCTGCTAAATAGCGCGCCGCGCCTAAACAGCCTACACAGCGAAACATTTTCTGTTTCATGAAAAATAAACAAAAAAAAATGAAAATTGAGTGAAAATTCATTCAAACAACTAGATAATGAAGAAGAAGTTAAAGAAAACGACTATTCTTAAATCTTTATCACAATTACATTTTTTTAGTATTTTTCTTTTTTTTAATTTTCATTATTCTAATTTTTATGTTGACCAAGATTGTGTGATAGAAAAACGAGGACAGAATTGATTCAGGATATTTAGCGAAATGAATTTTGAATTTACAGTCGACATTTCTATGCTCTGTAGAACAAATTTTTAACAAGACAATGGCGAGTTAGCTGAAGCATTTTGCAACAAAAAAAATTCTTTTTCGCATATGACATAAGAGAATTTATTTGGACGTTAATTTTCATTTTTTCAAGCACTCGGAACTTTTTTTTCATCTATCTGAGGGCGGCGGCATTTTGATTGATCAATTTCTCATTTAATCTGTTAGCTTATCACATTAATCGCAATTAAATATTTTCCTCAAAATAAAAGAGTCAAATTTAGATTGATAATGTGATTGAAAGGGGAGCTAAAATATTCTAAGGAGAAATTTCCTCTACAATTCTATCGCGCATTACAAAGACTTTCAAAGTCGACAAACATCAATTGCAAAATTAAAAAAAGAATTTCTAGCTGCTACTTGTTTGTATTTTTCTTTTCTTTTATGAATATTTCTTGTGGGTTTATTGCGATAAATTTTGGAATTTACTTGTGTCTACATGTATGTCTAGTTACAAAAAATTCTATGAAACATTCAACTTTTGAATCTTGGTGTTATCCATGAATGATGTAAAAAACATTTATTTTCTTCGTTTATCATTTCGAGCTTCGCTGCCGTCTTTCATTTTCATGTTTCAGTTGTTTTATGTAATGCAAATCATTTGTCTAATTTAATAAGCATTTTTGAAAAAGATTAGAAACAAACAATTTTTCGTCGTTTTTATGTTTTTAATGTGGCGCTGGTTTGTTTCATTCTTTTCCTTAAACTTTGCCTGCGTACGAATTTTGGTCATCCATAATCGTCACTTACTCATCGATGGCTTGCGTCACTTTAAAATTATGGCACTTTCAGTCGCTAAGCTTCATCACACATTTTCCTTTTCCTTCATTTATCAAATTTTTATTTATTTTCTTGTTCTTTTTGAAAAGAGTTTTGCTTTTATTTCAACGAGAATTCACACAGAATCTCTTTGATTATGTTTTTAAATGTTCATCGTAAGAAATTAAAATAAAGATTGGGGAAAAAAATTAAAAAAATGTGTTCAACAATAGAAAAAACAAATATCATCCATCGTTATGGCTTTCCTTAAGTTTCAGTTATTGTGTCGATCACGATTCGGTTCTGGATACAAGTAGATGCCTTCAACAGTAAATATTGATGTTTCTGTTGATAAGATTAAAATTAATTAACTTAAAAGTAGAGAAATTTAATGAAATTATTACCATCAGGCAGCTCATAGAGCTTCTTAGGCAATTGGGCAAAGTAAGAATGCTGTAAGCCATTATCAGCACCAATTCTATCTTCGGGATTGAGCTGTAATAATGCACTAGCCATCGCTTCACCTTCAACAATATCGTACAGACGTGGAAAACTTAATCCTAATTTGCGAGGTCGATAAAAGCCTGCGGAACATGAAATAATCGTGTTAGCAAATGAATTATGAATGGAAATTAATTTCAAGCAACAACTCACCTAACTTATGTGGTTTATAACTAGGTAAATGCGTCACACCCGTCCATGTTTCTTCAATGGGTGTACCAAGTATCCTGAAAATCTTATCCAACTGATCGAAAGTATCACGAATGCCAGGAAAGGTTGGAACGCCGGTTATCATTTCGACAAAAATGCAACCGACGCCCCACATGTCAAGCGATGTTGAATATTCAGTGCTACCAAGAAGAACATCTGTAGATGGATAAGTCAGATAAATTGATTACAAGCTCCACTAGTCATTTAAAAAGAACTTACCAGGCGGACGATACCAAAGCGTCACGACCTCATGTGAATACGTGTGACTTGGAACGCTTTTAGCACGTGCTAATCCAAAGTCAGCCAACTTCAATTCACCAATTTCACTTATCAGCAAGTTTTGTGGTTTTACATCGCGATGAAGTACACGACGCTTATGGCAATATGTGAGACCACGAAGCAATTGAAAGAGAAAAAGTCGGACATTTCGATGATCGAGACCACCTGGATGGCGTTCCATGTATTGTGAAAGGTCAGTGTTCTGATGGTGAAAGATTAAAAATGTCATAAATTATTTATTTATGTAAAAGTTTCATTTATCATCTTACCACATATTCGAACACAAACGTTAACGTCTCTCTCGTATGAACGATGTCGTGAAGTGTCACAATATTCGCATGTTTCAATTCTTTCAACAGTGAAGCTTCTCGAATCGCTGTGAAAGGTGCACCTTCTTCCTCCTGCAGTCTGATCTCTTTCAACGCTACCACTTGATTTGTTAAACTGTTTTTGTTTTGGTTGTAAGATGAGAACAACAAGATTAGAGTAGAAAATGAAAAATAAATCTGAGGTTAAGGCTATAAATTTTCTGTTTTCTCCCTTCCCACTGAATTCTATTGTAATCTACTTTCTCGTTCTGAAGGGCTGCATGAGAAAGCTGTAAAAATGGTGTTGACCTAGTTCTACCATTTTACTAGCCCAACATTTCGTTGTACATAGCCAAGCACTAAGCGAAGACATTAAAAGGAAGTTTATGAATTGTTTGCTTTTAGACGATTTGTGCTTGTTTCGCTTTTTATTTAAGATCTGAGAATCTGCTGCTTCATTCTCTGCCATACCAAAGTTCTGTTCATTCTTTCATTCATTCATTCTCTTCTTCATCCCTTTTTATGTGTAAATATTTGCTACCGTAAAGTATCATCAGCAGAAGGATCTCGAAAAAGCTTAAGTGAAAATGTTTTTTATTCTATTTTCTGTTTACAAAATGAATTTTCTTCCTTTTCGGCATGATACAAGAAATTATGAATTTTCAGAATCTTGTTTATGTTACTGTTGTTGCTGCTGGTATGGTACCAGTTGGCGAATTTAATAAACAAGCGGTAAGTGAAGCAAAATTCTCTTTATTCTCTATTTTCCTGCCTTATGGAAGGTGCAATGGCATTAAAGTCTCATTTAAATAAAGAAGGGAGAAGTTTCTTCGAATGAAAATTCATTGAATAATTTGCGACACAAAAACTTAGTCAAGCGGAGAAATTTAATAATTTTAAAACATTTTTTTTGCCTTCTGGTCTTACTTTTCCTTTTCATCATTTTCTTGGCGAGAAGAACAGAACGAGCCAGGAAAATTCTCCTTCCGCTTAAAAACCATCAAACCAATATCCGATAAAGGTGGGAAAAAGAACAGCGAAAAGGTGAAATTTACGAGATTTTTAAAGTGTTGTTGTTAGATGGAACTCGAGCTTGAAAGGTAAATGTTAGTTTGAAACTTTGCTGTTCCTGTTGACCTACTTTGGCATAAACACACAATCTTAAGCATTTATTTGGCGAACGCTTCCAGAACCATTTTTTTTGGGGTCGTAATAATATTTGAAACTTTAAATTACTTCATAACATGCACCATGATAGCTTGCCAACAAGGTAGATACAGATTAAATACAATGAATAGTTAAATGGGAAAACATTATGTTGGGAAAATTGCTCGCATTGAGAAAATTAACAAAGAAACTTTTCCAGTTAGTTATCAGAGTTTATTGCTTATTTAATAAATAAACGATGGAAGGAAGTGAAAACGACTTACTTGCTAAATCCTTTGAACACTGTTGCGTAAGAACCTTCGCCAAGTTGTTCTAACTTTACATAAGCTTCTGATTTGCCAAATGGTGAATCACCCTGTGGAAAGAAAGAAAAAGAATTTCGAATAAATGAGGGAAACATCCGCTTCTAACTCTTTTTCTATTATTGCAGAATTAAAGATGACTAAGCAATTTTATGATTCAATACTCGATATAATGATGTCGATTGTCGAGCGTTTTTTCCTTTTTATTTCTTGTTTATGACATCAGTGTGAAGTTTGAAAACACAAAAGTAAATTGATGAACTGAAGCGAATTATTTTGATTCTTTTAATCATTTAATCTTACAAATTTCTGAGTTAAACAAGAAGTTTCTTTCTAAGTATCACATAAACAATGCTATCGTGATTAAAGCTTCGTCATCGAGTTGTCAAAGAATTATCATCCTTTCATTGTTGTATGGCAAGAAAAACAACCTTTATTGTGTTTATATCAAGGAAATCGCAGATGAAAAAGTTGAGTTGCTGGATTTGACTTTTCTTAACTTTTCTTCGAACTTGATAAACGATCAGTGAAACGATTCGTAAATAAAACTTTCTGTAATCCCTAAGAAGGAACATTTCTCAAGATTCATCTGATATGAATGGTTGGTTTTGTGATGTTGGTTTGGTTTTGGGAATTTTCTCTTAAAATATTTAAAACTTGAGTTTGTAAAAGTTTTGAACTTCTTAAGTAATGTCGCTTTAAACCACCATCGGCTTTAGCAATCATAAGTCTTGCTTATCAAACTATATAAAATGTAGTTCAAATAGAAAAGCAATAAAATTTCATTTAAAACTTCTTCGTACATGTCGACGATGACGACGACAAGCCAGAATTGATCAGGAAACTATTTTAAAATGAAATTTTTAATATTTTCTTATGTGACTTGGGAGCTTTTCAGAAGGAAAAGTTTGCGGTGTGGGAATTAAAATAAGAAAAAAGTTTTAAATACTCACTCCAAATGCTGAAAAGCGTTTTCGTCTTGGATGCGGGTCATGTTTGTTGAGAAAAACTTCCGATTTAGGTCGCGGTGGTTTCTTTGGCCGCATTATCACACGAGTCTCTTCTCTAATATCATCATCTAACAGTTTGCTATCGGACGATACTGATAATTGTCTATGCACTTGCCCATGATCGCTTGCTGACCAATCTGTAAAGCATATCAAAAGTAATTTGAAAGATGGATAAAAATTTCTCCCCAACTGAGTAAACATTTCAATGTTGAGACACAAATATATTTGAATTCTTGTAAACATTTATTATTGCTGTTTACTTGAAAATTCATATGTGGAACACATGTTTATGTTTCGTTCCATTTCGTTACTTATTAAACATACGGATGGATCATGAAATTTTATTGAGATATTTAAATATGCAAAAATATGCTTCAGCCATTCAAAAACTGGATTAGAGTGGATTAAATTTAAAATGCTTGAATCATAAAATCATTCGATTGCTAAGACATATTCGTTGCATTATTTGGATTTGATTTAAAGAACATTATTGAATTTATGTTAAAACGTTTATTCAAACTTGCTTTAAAGCAATTTCTTTTCTTCAGAATACTCAGAAAATAGTTTTTCATTTTAAACTAGAAATTGAATTGAATAATTTATGTTGAAGAACATTTCAGATTCAACTTAAAATAAAATCTCTCGCATTCACCATAAAAATCTCGTAATTTATGCATTTCAATGAAATAGTTCTTTTCCAGATCTCTTTGCACCGTTTAAAGGAAGCAAACTGAGGTACTGAAATTTAAATTCAAGCAAACGACTCGGGACGGTAATCCCTTTATTCAACTTCCATCACATATTTAACTCAACTACTCACAACTTCAAGAGGTCGACAAACATTTCGTTTAAATATGACGGAAGCTTAAATGGGAAACATAAATTATCTCAACTCTAATTCCAGAAATTGTTTTACCTCCTGAAATCATATTTGAGGTCAAAATCAATGATTAATATTTCCGAAATTTTGAAACTTTATTCAAACTAATGAAAGCTGCAAAAGGCTGGGAAAATATTCATGAAAATCAAGGCAACCACACAAGTAAAATATTTCCATAATAATATTTATTTATATCGCCCCGAGAAAACCTTTTCAATTGTTCATAACCAAAGCCACAGCAAAAGGGTTTTCCGGAGGATTACTTTCAGAAAAGTCGAAGCCAAAAATTTTCCATTTGAATTAAAGCACCTGCGATAATGTGCAAAACTTCATCAGTAACACAAAAAGCTTTTAACAGCACATTATTAGTGAATAAATGTTTATGATTTTCTATTATAATGGACACATAGATATCTCTAATGAATAAAGAAAACATTTGCACGAAATCCTTGATTAACATTACTTAGTTATCGGAAAACAATGGGAAAATGGGAAAGCGAGAACGGTTCTATTATATAATGTCCCAGGTTGTGTCCATATAAATATTTACACCATCGATACCATACGCCGTTGTATTCAAACAAGTATCAATTTCCATCCCATGATGCTTTAGCCATTAAATCAACACAAAATGAATTGAAAACTTGTGTTTTTATAGGATTTGTGATGCTATGTCGTCATTGAGTTCTCCATGGCGATTCTCTTAATGGTTCACTTCCTTTGTTCCTCTTTATGGCAAACATTTTATCTAAAGCAGAGTTGGGGATTTTGTTGTAGAAGCAGGAAAATCAGGGAAAATTCTTTCATTGTTCATCCTGAAGTCTTTTCTTTCTATTCTAGGAAATCAATTTCAAATTTGATTTCTTGCTTTTCTCAGAAAGGTCTCAAAACACGACAAACACAAACACAACAAGTCAAAGGTAGAAATTTCTCATTTCTATTTGAATTTCGAAAATGAAAATGAGCAAACTTACATCGCTCATCCATGAAAGTTCCACTTGAAAAACAAACTTTTACAATTGACTTAGACTTTTGCTGAAGGCACACAAATGAATGGAGAAGGAAAGTTTTCATTAAAAGATTCAATAAGAAATTCTTAAGCTTGTGGATGATGCTGATACGAATAAAATAAATATCAAGCTGAAGTGTATTGTGATGAAAATTTTCTAGCTTTTCTAAGTTTGCTCATTTCTCTTATTGAAGACCCTTTTGTTGTCCATATCTCAACCCATGATCACTTTAAACATCCGCCTTTTATTCCCTTTCTAGGAAAAGGACGAATAAATTTTATTAAATCCTCTCAAATATTGTCCAAAGTGCCTTCTCAAAATCACCATAGCAAAACGCTCAGATAGCTGCTCATGACATGATCTTTGAATTCATCCTGAAATCCCTCGGAAAAGAAAACATCTAACGCCCTTATCCATCATAAGACGAAGACCGTGTGACTTTATTTTATGGGCATATCATCAATCAAAGATCCTTTCTGTATCTTTAAACCATTCTTCGATGGTTTTCCTCTTGCTACATTAATAATGAACGATAGATATTTATGCTACTGAAAGTCAAAGATATTAAATTTCAGCATAAAAATGAAGATAATCTGTCCCGTTTGGATGATTTTCCCATCAAAGAAAATTGAGTTATCTTGTTGAGAAACTAGCAGTTTTCATCTCTTATAAACATCATTAAATTCTTCTCGTTGCTTAAGCACAAAATACGAGTTGAGTTTATTTACTTTTAAACTCGACAGTGTTCATAATCGTTGAAGAAAGTTTTTCTTTCCCTCCCTCAACTTTAAGTTGTTGGTTGCGTAAATTTCTTATTTAAACAAAGTTCTTCGCTGACGAGTTGTGTCCAATTTAACGCAGGAAAAAACATTCTGTTTTTTGACTCGACAGTGAAAATTGTAAAAGTAGCAATTTTTGTTTTCATTTATCGCATTTCCGCTCGAGAAAATTTCAAATAATTGGAAAAGTTTATTTTTCCTTCATTTTCCTTTTCAAATCGACCATGACGACAAATGGTTTATGTCTCGTTTTTATATTTTATATGTTTAGAGAAAAAGAAATTTAATTTCATTTGAAACATAAAAATGACAACAACAAATAAATGTTTACAAAAATTCTCTGTCTCAATGGTGAGAGTGGAAAAGGAGATAAATAAATAAATGTTAAAGAAAAAGAAACTTACGTTTGTTGTACGATTTATTATCAACTGGTATGTTTCCGTTCTCCAATCGATCTAAATACTCTTCTGAATATCCATTATATGGCATTTTATTGTTACTACGATTATGGTGATGATGGTGGTTATTTGTTGTTTCATCGTGGTCTTCTCGTGATATTGCTAGAAGAATGATAAAAAGAGAAAAAGGAAGATTTTTAGTTGATTGAACAAACGATATAACTACAAGACTAATTGGATGTCATTAAGAGGGTGTAATGTAAATTATGTCTCTGCGATATCGTCCAATAAGCGACGTTAATTCATTCAGCATAATTCACAAACGATCCCAAACCATTTATTCTGAACCATTAATTAAACTTCAGCACTTTCCGTTGCAAGTTTTCCTTGCTCTTGTTACATTTTTCCTCCCCGTTAAATATCGAAGAAAAAATATTCAAATTGAAGAAGCGACTTCATAAAAAGCAATCTCGGTAAAAGTGAAACAACAAGCGGAGAGAGAAAAACATAAGAAAAACAGTAACATCAACATGAGAATCACGTTTCAACCTTTAAACGACGACGTCGGGTGGATTTTCCCCCGATTTTGCACAACGATGGAATCATCATTAAGCATTAAATTGAAAAAAGGTGCAAGATAAAAACAGAAATCATTGTCACGCGCAAAAAAAGAAACTTGAGCGAGGGTAAATGGAAAACAGTGAGAAAAACTTTCAGTGGTTTTTGTCTTCAGATTGTGTCGCTCGTTCTGCTTTTTTATGTTGACTTAGATGGAAGAACCTTCCAATTAGTTAAATAATTTCTAAAAAAGCACTCTGGAGATTCTCCTGCGCTTGGTATTGCGCTCCAGATTGACAGGAGGAGAGAAGGAAAGCACAACGTGAGTTTTCATTAACGAAAGAGTCTCTTGAGACATGAGTCAATGTACGTTCTTTTAAAGAAGCAAATTGAGCAATTAATTTGTTGAAAGGCGACATTAAGTCAAAGAGGATAGACAATTGCTTCCAGTGTGCTTCATGCAACACTTTAGATTATGAAGGCTCAAACATTCAGATCACGATTTACTTCTCTATAAATATTCAAGAGATGGAAAATAGAATTTCACTAAGAAGTTTGCCATAAATTGTTGTAATGAGCAAAAATTATTATGAATTATGCTTAATAAATCATTGTGGCAGTGAAAAACTTGATTCTCGCTTATTTTTTTGATGTTTGTTTAAATGATGCTAGAAGGGAAAAGTTTTTTGTTTTTCGGTGGAAAATTTCCCATCTTGAATTACGGAAATTCAACAATTTTCTCTCCGTTTCAACATCTTTCTTACATTCTTATCAAATAACACCGGAAGCTTTCCATGTCACGTATTTTATGATGTTTCAACATCAATAACGACGGCTTTTAGCTAAATTAAATTGCAGATATTTTGATTGTAAATGAGCGGAATTGCAACACTTTTTAATTTTAAATGCTTTATGCTTGAAATTACGCTAGGGAAAAAAAATAACAGGAGGATAAAAGAAAATTTCGTTGCTTTTTAATCAAAATAAATGAAAAATGAAAAGTTCTCTTCATTTAATTCTTTCACGCGAAATATCCTTTTCGTTTTTCGAAGCATTTCTTTTTGAGGGCAATGCTGAGGAGTCGTGGGTGGAGAATAATAAAAGAAATGTTTTATTGTGATAATGAGGGCTCGGCTATTTGTTCGCCTTCAAGGCGCTTTGCTGTGAAAAGTTTTTATGATGGACGGGAATTGTTGAAATTTGCATAAAGAACGCTCCCAACTAAAGTTTTCTATTCTACTTTCAACTTTTTCATTCTTCAAGGAAGAGAAAGGCAGGAAAATCTCTGTTGAAATGACGGAAAAGAACTTTTCCTTTTATTTTAAATAGAATGTGAAAATTATGCAATAATTTTTAATGGGAAAGCTGTGCCTGCTTTCTCCGTTCTTATTGTCTCAACAATGATTAAACAAATTGCCTTCGAAATGAAAGAAAATTTTGTCAACTCGATAGCCATTAAATTCTTCTTTAAAATGATTTTCAAGCTAAATTGTCACATCCTTTAACTAAGTATTGTTAATCGATTTTCTGCTTAATGACAAACATGAACTGAAAGTTATCGCTACGTTGAAACTTGACAGTGAACGTGACTTACAATCGCAAAATGATACGTTTTTTCTGTGGCATTACACAAGAAGCATTGTTGAGAATTCTACTATTGTCAAATGATACAACAATTGAAATTCATCAGTGACATTGATTCAGACCCCACATATGTACATATGAAGACACATACATACGAATTGACATTACGATGACATCACATCGAATTCCAGAAAGAAAGAAAATTCTCAAACACTTTCAGTGCTTTGTAGGGGAGCGAAAATGAGCAAGAAATTTTTCAACAGAAACTAAGAAGGGTCGTCAGCATTGGAAGCACATGTGCGATCATTAAAATTCAAGCGAGAAATTGATTTCTTTACGATATTGATTTTAACGTGGGTGGAAGAATCGAAAGCCGACACTTTTATTCTCAGTCATCATGCTTAAACAAATAAATATTCGCAAACAAACCGAGCAGCTATTAATTAATTTTCACTTGAATGCGTCCACAAACAATAATTTTCAATCAAAATATTTGCTTTGAAAATTACTATTTCTCGATTCTAGTGGCACGGCCAGCTTCTTTAATTGCGTGTACAGATCAAATATTTACTTACAATGATGGAAATAAAAAGAGTTTTGCGTAGAACTTTCCAATCTATTCTGTTGATTGTTGTCATATTGCGAATGAATGAAGATTATCAATGTCGATTCATATTAATTTGCTCACGGTCAATTGTTGTGATTTGCTTTCATCGTTCGCTACTCGACTTGAGCTTGCTTTAGGATTATTCGAGAGGAATCAAGAAACTCCTGCTTACTACGTGATGTGATTTCCTTAACAAATTTCAACGGAAACACATCTGGAATAATATTAAATAATTTCTCGACTCTCATGTGAAGTTTCTTTTGCGGTTTTAAGCATTTCTCATTCGTACTCTTTGCCTTTCAATAAGCTTGATAATTCTAATCTCTCCTTCTCTATCTCTCGAAATGTTGAGTGTTTGAAATATTAAAATATTAAATTATAATGCATTTCCGACTCGATCGTAATTTATCTCTTACGACTCATGGTCAGCACTTGTTCTGCCACCTGATTCGTATAGAATTTAAATGAGAAACTTTATGAATGTTAGTCGTCTCTCTAAATGTGTCGTGCATTGCTCTGTTCGTTCATATAAATGCACAGTAAAATTGCTGTCTTGCTTACATTGACCAGACGTGAAATGTGCGGACACGTAACGAGAATGATAAACAATCCCATGCAAGCTTTGAACCTACTCTAATCTCATAAGTTGAACAACAGTTGCTACATTACCACAAAACAGCACAGCCACGCATAAAATGTTTATCGCATGAAACAACCCAATAAAAGTTGAATTAAGGCAAACTTGTTCTTGCTACTAATTCTTGTGTGGTTCTGTTTATAACGTCAGCTTAACATATTTGCGACCGTGAATCTCAGCTATCAAATTACTTTCTTCATTAAGACCGTCAGTATTGTCGTAGTCGTTGTCGTCGTCAAGCTAATAAAATAATAACTTGAAGCGACATCAGTGGCTAAATGAAAGCAACAAAAGTTTATGTGAAAATATTTGAAGGTCAAATTAATTTGCCTTCATCATTTTGCTTTTGGTTCGGACACATCTGCGTTGCTACTTAAGTGGCTTTGATTGTGATTCATTTACTTCGGCTGGCAAGTATGTTTTTATAGCACAATTTCATTTTTTATGATGATAAACTTTCGTGCGAATGCACATTGAGTCTTAATTGATTCAACACGACGCTTGATAAAATGACACAAATTAAACTCACATTTCATTAGCTTTTTTTATGTTTATCTCGTAAATAAGCCTAAAGTATTTTGATGAGAGTAAAGAAGTGATAAATTGCCAGCATAAATACTTGGGGAAGATATCTAACGAAGAGCAACATGCGACACATAAAATATAAGAAAAATCGATATAAGGGAGTCGTTTTTCACAGTGTGCTGTTGACACAGATTTCCCGATTTTCCCAAAAAGAAAACTTCACCTTTTCCTTAAAAAAATCGATTCAGATGAGAAAAAAATGTTTCGCTAATGTATGTTGAGCTTGAAATCTTCTTCCCTGCTGTTTAATTGCACGAACAACCTTTGTAATATTTTCTATTTAATCGCTGCTGTAAGTTTTGGGACTGGATAAAGCGACATCATCAATTATGTATAAAGCATTCTTATGTACAAAGCGGAAAGGGTGACAAGAAGCGACATAAATTAGCTACAAAGATTCTTCCTTCTTTTTTTGTCTTTCTCATCTCATTGAGTGAAAGGCTTTTAATTAAAAATATCAAGTAAAGCGAACAGAAAAACATTCTGTGATGTGACAGAATAAAGCTACTTAGACATGAAGATGGAAATGTTGAAGGCAGAAGCGTAAAATAATTGAAAGTCTTTTATCTGTCGACCTTTCCTTATCGTAATTTTTATATTTATCAACGTCGGTTTGATTTGAGTTTGTAATTTTAAATTATATCAGCCGCGTGAATTTCAAAGCAAATTGTTAGTGTTTACAGTTCAATTACAATAGTTCATGTAGTTTAATTAAAAGTTTACTTCAATGAACTGGTTAGTTTTACTTCTACTTGTTGTCAAAGAAGTTTTATTGGGTGTTGACGATTCCTGCACGAGTTCATCTTTGCCTTTCAACAAATTTCATCTGTTTGAAAGAATTTTGAAAGTCAAAGATGTCATTACATCATTGGTGGATAGTCTCGTTTAATTTTCAAAGGAATAAATCCTTTCAATGAAATGAGAGATGAATTTGCAAGAATTTTTAATCAAGTTGAAGAAGATTTAGTGGAAATTAGAATTGAAACTTATTTTGATACAACATATTTTAGATTTTCTTCAGATTGCAACTGATCAATAAGCATAAAGTGCATTGAATTCAACTTTAAAAATCATCTTTCAAACAACAATTATTTCATTTGCGCAAGATATTCACGACATTGATTCAAAGTTACTTTTAGGAATTGCTCAAGGAGAAATCGTAAAAATTCCCTTCCCACTTTTATTAGCTGACGAACTCGTAGGCTTTAATAAATTTCGGCATGATTTTTTTTTTGAAATTGGAGACAATAGGTGAAGAAACTACAAAGAGTTTAAAACTAACAATGTGTTAGTTCATAATTAAAACGATTACAAGGTGAAAATTATTTTTCAATGTCACGAAATTATTGATTGAGTTCAGTTGCTATCATGGAGTTCATTAAGCTGTTACTTGTTATTCTGATAAGTGAAAAAGTGTTGCCAAGCGGTGATGAACTCTGCATGAGTCAATCAAATGGTCATCGTTGAGAGACTCGCTATTATCGAAGATGTTCTAACTAACTTTACAAATTAACTTGTGCCACTTTTCAAAGGTGTCAGTGTCTTCACAGGCACGAACGCTGGCATTTCAGAGTAAGTTAAAGAAATTGTAAATCGAGTTTAAAGAACTCTACGGGATATTAGCATTCAAGCTGATTTTGATGATCTTTTAACCTCAATTGGATTCCGATGATTCGAAGGAAATGAATGGATAGCACATGAAATCAGAGCAGTAACTACTGGTCTCAATCAAGGAATGTTTGTGCTAATGCAAAAGTTAATTTTTTCATTTGCACAAGAACTTCAAGTCGATTCAAGTTTCATGAGATCAAATTTCTTGCAAAAGGTTAAATTTGTACCTTTTCCAATTTCTTGTTTATCTGATGACTTTGCAAGTTTCTACAAGTTTCTGAAAAAGTTTTATATAGATTTGAAATGTATGGGCGATGAGACTATTAACAAAATTGTTTGTAATTAAAACTTAAATAATAAAGATCGTATCTGACTCAAGTCGTTATAATTAACTTTACTACTCAAGTTGACGCTGAAACATTTCTTGTTATTTGATCGAGTATAAGATGATGGAGGATTACACTGAAATGTCGTTAAAGAAGAAGCAATTTGAATTTTCTGCATGCTTTGAGAAAGATTTTTAATTGCAAGAAATTGCTCTGATAAGAATTCTCCTTACAATTTGTAAGGTTTCTATTCGCGACATTCCAAGAGATTCACCTTATAAATTGTAAGGTTTTCAAACGCAACATTGTTACAAAGAAACTTAACAATTCTTACTCAATGTTAATTTCCTTTAATTTCTAGTATTTCTTGACCACCATCTATCGGACGATTACAAGAAATTAAGAGTCATAAAAAAATGATTATAAAACAACCGGTTTCCAACGGATGGATTTAGCGTAGACTCTTTAATTACAAAACGATATCATCAAAACGGGTTGAAGTCGTTCTTATCAGTAGAAACATTTTATTTAATTTCTTTTTCCTTTCTCGTCAAGTCATGCACTGTTATTTTATGAGTTGATACATGTTATTACTTATAACTTAGTTCGTATTAATGCTGATGATGTCGGCGACGAGTCTTCATTAAATATTCATGATTATGATGATAACATGTATAAGTTTTCATTCATAAAACTTAAATCAGAAGTTGGAGTTAATTTTTGGGGAAACATGTGTTATTAACGTTTTACTATGAGAAGACTTCATGCGTTAGCTATTCAATTATTCTTTAATGTTAGAGGATTAAAGAGTACTGAAGGAAAACAACTAAAAGAAGCGTTAAATCATGTAATGATATCTACGGATTCTTTATAGATGTCGTTCAATGAATTGCAGTAATGAAAAAAGAGAATAAAAACAATTCCATGTCGGTTACGATAAATGTTCGGTCGTCGCATGTTTTTTTCGTTAATGAAATTCTCTCCATAAAACTTCTTAACGATTCATCTGTTCATTCTTTCCCATCGAAATAATTTAATTTTCATGGGAAATTTCACTCAACGACTCAAACAATTTAGAATCGACATTCTTTTAAAACGTTTCTCATGAATTTAGATTGCAAGTTTAAGTCTGCTTTTCCAATTGATGACGTCACGAAGGGGGAAGACTTTTTAAGGGATAACTTAATTCAATTGAGTAATGGCTGAAAGTCATGCAATATTTCATTGGAAGTCATTGATTAAAGACATGTTTAGATGGACAAATAAATGTCTGTTTAGTTGCTTACAACATGAAAGTGATTTGGTCAGAATAGTTTGATAGAAACAAATGTAATCGGTTATGAACTTTGACAAAATTCATCATCAATTAGAATTCCGTTTTATGCCTATTGGCGACATTTTTATCGAATTATCTTAAACTTTATGAAATTATGTGGGTGGAGATGACGTTAGGAATAATTTAACATGAAACAGATTTCATTTCCTTCTCATTTTCGCATCGAAATCCCCATTCAGTGGACTGAATTTTATTCTTTTTTCATCCCAATGAGTCCAACCATTTGAATCATTAATCTTTCTCAAGAAAAGAAAAATGTAACCCGCGAGACGCGTTTCTTCTCGAAATTCAATGTGTTGAAGACTCATCGTCGTCGAAATGATTAATCAACGCCTCATCAAATTTCAATTCGAATCTTTTTTTGTTTCAAATTAATGAAGCTTCTCAAATATTTTCATTTTTTTAAAGAAAAAAAAGGAAATTCCTTTGCCTTAGTCTCGTAAAAAAAAATATGAACTCTTTTTACCCGAAATAAGAATATCAACTTGAGTTTGAAGCAGATAAATTTGATTTTTGCTTCCTTCAATTCGATTTCAATACTGAGAAGGTTAGTAGATAAGATAATCTCTGGAGGGTATAAAAGGCTTCCAAAATAAGATATTTGAAGCATAATTTGATAAGGATTCGTTTACACAAATACGATCTTTTTTTTTCCTCCAGTTGTCAAATCAAAGAAATAAAAAAATCTATTTGGAGGAAACCTTTTTTTCTTAGTTAACTTAAATTTGACAACGGAGAGTTTTTTTTATCATTTTATTATGTAATTTTCTACTACGCAACTTTATTCAATTCAATTGAATTTGTAACCCAAACAAAGTACAAAACAAAGCCACTTTACAAATGCATTACAATCGTAAATAGCAAGCTTAACAAATGAAATGAAAGTTTTATTTTCCTTCAATGCAAATTTTTAATTCATAAATTAAAATGCATAACAAGAAGTGAGAGGGAAAGATCAAGAAATAAAGAAACAAAAGCGAAGCATTTTATTCGAGTTCATAAAACTTTGATTCAAACAAAAGCAAATTGAAGCGAGTTTCATTTGCAATTCATAAATAGAGATTAAAACATCTTACAGACGTCGAATGATTGAAAGCGAAGTGCTTTCGCTGCCGCCACTAACACGGATTTAACGTTTACAATCGAGACGAAGTGAATGCAAGATGCAAATCAATCTTGCATATTTATAAAAGTTTGTCTACTTATAGACGACTTAAGGAATATCAAGATGATTAACTCTCATTTGCATTTTCAATTTTGGATGTAAATTGAAACTTCTTGTTTTTACTATTGAGACAATGAGATTTTACCGTCAAATATTGAACCACCAGCTTACAATATTCATTACTAATGCTACACTTTAATTGAAATTGTATTCAAATAAATAATTCAAGAGACAAAACTGAATAAAATATGTAAATTCATTAATTATTAAACGTCTAAGAGAAGCAGACATTTTCTAATCAATTTATTAAGCATCACATGTTTGGTCAAAAGCCTTTTAATTAATGTTTTAATTGCTTTTCATGCAATCCATCACAATTCTTTTTTCAATTGTTTGACACATAAATGTCGAGGATATGGAAACATGTGCCAGTGTTTGCCATTGTAATTTAATCTTGATCGACATGCAATTTCGCTTTTTGAATTAAGTAATAAGCAAATAGATATTGTTGTCAGTCAGATTGTTGACTCATTTGCTCGCTTATCTTAGATCGCAGTGAAATATATCGATGAACGATAAGTTGATTTACAATGAAAATTGTTACAAGAAATACTTACAAAGTCTTCCAAAGCTGTGTGACAATCTTTTCTTAAGTTTCTGTAAGGCTCCACCTTTCTTCTCTCTCATTGTAACACCTGAAACAGTAAGAAAAATCATTATAAAGTAATTAAAATAAATTGGATTGAGTGTTAAGTAAACAGTTTCGAGATTTAATTACGGTCAATTTGCACATAACGCAATTGAATGAGTTTTCATTTCTCATTAAATAAAAAGATCGCGAGAATAATCTGTTAGACAATCGTGAGACACAAAAATGTGCAACTGTAAACTAAATTCCCTGCATTCTTATATTTTCTTCAAAAAAAATCTATTTTTAAATGAAAAAGCACATTTATCGTCATTCGTGTTGTTAGCTGCGATTAGTAATATAAATTTTCTTCCTTTAGTCGTTGTTCACTGAATTATTCATTCGTCTTCTGTTTGCTTGCATTATGTGTTAATTTAATTTTAACAGAAACTCTCATCAAAATATTTTCCCATGTAGTCGCGAAGCTCATCAAACGACAGTAATTTATGACCACTGTTGGTTTGTTTGGGGCTTTTATGATTTACTTTTCACTCGACTTAATTCATAGTCAACCTAAGATGTCAAGAGATAATTTCCTTTAATGTCTTAATTAGTAACATTGACAATAGTCATTGGCCGAGCCACACACATGGTTTCTGGCATAAATTTGTGAACATTTGCATATATCACAAATCACATTTGGGTTCGGCTTCGTTTCAACAACAAACTCTGACTCAGAGAACTTCTAATCAATCAAGCGAATTAATTTGATTTTCACACTTCCTAAATTTGCGCAAAAAAAAACTTCCGCACCAGACGTGAATTTCTGTGAATGGTGAAAGTGATGGAAATTCAATTTTCATGTTGCCAGACGATTTTCAATCATCATTTTCACATGTCTATCCGAAGCTTTACTTATAAACGATGATGTATTGCAAAAGTTTGAAAGAACAAACTTCCTAGAGATAAGTTGAATAAATAATTTACATTCTAGATGTCGAGGTCGGTCGACTGTAACGTTCAATCAAATCATTCTTTATAAGAATGAATGTGAAACTATTTAAACGAATCTCATAGCACAGTTCAATGTAAATTCATCGAGAGCGACTTGAAACAAACGTTATTGCTGTTACACTTAAAGTCTTCAAAGTTGTTTATGACTTTCATTCGACTTCTTTTTTGCTTTTCACCATTCACTCTTTCCCACTTTACATAGACAAATTTTTCCACTGAAAAATAACACGGAAACTACTTGTGCAACTTTTATTGCTATTTATTTTCAACCACATAAGCAAACACAAGACATATTGCAAGCTGCTGGTTTTTTTCTTCATTCTTATGGTTTTCCATCGTAACATTAATGAGAAAAATATATTTTTGTGTTGAGGGAAAGATTTACGAAGCATCATTTCTAGGATAATTTATTTCTAAGCACCGTCCAATTTGTCACAAACTCGCATTCGATGTTTTCAACATTACCATTTATTGAAACGCAATCTCACACTCATGGTTACTTTCTCATATGACATTCAACCAAAAATGGAATCGAATGCCAATAAAAGAAAAAAAAAGTTCTTCACTTCACGACTATTTTTGTTTTTCGCAGAATACAAGAGAGAAAAAAATAATAAAAGACATAAACAGCATCACGAGAAGAGTGAAATGTAGGTCAGCCATTCCAGAGTGTTTCTTACCATCAAGCTAAAGTCGAATATAATAAAAAAGGAGATGAAAAAATTGCTTCAATTCAACGAAGTATGTTTGTGTGTTGTTTTATGTCACGAGACTGTTATTGAGTGTCATTTTCTTAAATATTCTATGAGAGAATCCTTGAATTTTGTTCTTTCATGAGGCGAGAAAAACAATATGAAGTTGGAAAATTGTCTTGATTATGTAACAGTTTTTTTCACAATGTGCTCTCTGCAAAATAAAATGGAAAATGCTGTTCTTGCTTCACATTCTCTACGACACACATTCAAAAATGAAAGAATGGAATGGTTAAAGATAATAAAAAGACGATGAAGCGATTTGGGAAAGAAATACCCCGTTGAGACATGAACAACAGTCACACAATCGCTTGATTACTTTAAAAGGCACAGCGCACTTACAAAACTTATCTTTTGTGGTGACACAAAGGTCATTACGCCAATCGAGGAATCGTTCGAACTCAACTATGAATAGTCGTTGATCAATGACCTCCACTTATTACAAACACTACAATCAGACAGACAATCGTCAATAAAAGAAGCAAAAAAAAAACGCGATGTGCGGAAAAAAAAAGTTTTTTTAACTATTCAAATGAACTTTTTTAGCGGAGTGTTCTCTTAAGCAAAAACGCTTTAACTTCATGGAGCGGTGCAATAATAAAAAAAATATACGAGGCTACGTGTAGCAAGCAAAAAAAAATGTGAAGATAATCGCGGTTGTAAAACAACGATTGATGTGGAAAATATTCCCACAGCGAACGACTTCAGCGAGTAGATGAATGACTGCAAGCAAGCAAAAAAAGAACAAATTTTCCAAAAATAGCGAAGATTTTTTAACAGAACTTGTGAATTAGTGAAAAAGAAAAAACAAAACAGCAAATCTCTCAATTCACCTTCTTAATCTACTTGCTGTGCTAAGAATGGAATGACTGTTGTTGTGCAAATTTCTGTTATGTTGAGAAGAGCAAAAAACCTCAAATAAATAACTTAAGTAAGTGAGAGAGAAATCTCTTTTTTCTGTTTAGATGAAAACAGACTGTTAATCGCACTGTTCGTTCTTTTTTTTCGAAGCAACTGATCCAAGCAAATTCAATTATCTTCTTCCTTCAATCAATTTGCTTTTCACCAACGAAAAATGGTCGATTGTTGTATAGAGAGAAAAAAGAGAAGCCAGCCACTCATCATGGACTAGTAATAATTTATTCACTGGAAAAGGTTCACACCATTCAGCAACTGAACTTTTTTGTTGATTTATTTTTGATGAATTTAACTATTCGTAGATTTTATTTTGTTTCATACGCGTAGTGTTCTGAATAACTTTTAGTTTAAATAGATATCTACACGTAGGGAGGCAATAAACGATGGGAAACTTCATATGAGCGTTTATTGTAATATTTGCCTTGACATCAACTCAAACATTTTTATTTTGGATAATTTTCACATACACTTATTCATTTCATTTATCGATTCCAATATATATTTGCGCACGGCCTCCCTTAAGCACTCCTGAACTGCCTAAAATTGTTCTACTTTCTTTTATTTCTTTTTCTTTTTTACCACTCGTGAATGTCGCTTGAGTTGACTGGGAAATCAATTTTTCATTCTATCGATACGACATTTTCTTCTCAATGTTCGCGAAATTTTTGCTATTTTCTCCCCTTTTTGGTGTTTTCCTTTCAAGAAATTAAATTAAGTTTTGAACACAGAAATTTTCTTTTTCTTCTTTGGTATTTTATTGTTCTGTCAATACAACTTCCCACATTCACAAAATCCGTAAAAAATTGTTTTTGTCTGCCAACATAAAAGGAGGCAATTAAAAAGCTCTTAAATCCCGATAAATTGTTATCATTAAGTCTTTATTGTTTAATTTATATCTTCGACCGTAAAAAGACTGCGAACGATTCAAGTTATCGAACTAAACAATTGCGAGCTTAAACAGTTACTGAGGAGTTGCGAATGTTGAATTAATATTTTTTTCTCATCACACCCTAGACGTTTGAGCATTGAATGACGTCAGCATCAAAACATTGCAACAACATTGAGTGAAAATAACCCTCAATGTTTTTAAGGGAAATTTTCTATAGAAATTTGCTGACTTGTTGTTATCTCAATGTTCAACTCCAAACTTCAAATGTAAACAAAAACATTGATGAATCAATGTTAGCAATGAAGGAAAGTTGGCAACACTATGAATCATCAAAGTTTGGACTGTTTTGAAGCAATTGTCTGAAACATTCGATGACGTAGTTGCCATCAAGCTAAACATCATGAAAATTTGATTCGAACGAAACAAAGATGAGGGAATTGTGTTAGATGAGCGATGTTATGTCGTTGATGATGATGGAATGGTATTTTTGTTTTGATTTGATTTTCATCACAGTCAGAAGACAATCTTTCGATGATTTAACAGAGAGCGTTAACCTTAAATTCGGAAAAATCGGAGCTTTTTATTATTGGCAATTAAAATGCTTGAACGGTAATTAACACTTTTTATCAGACCATTGCTCCAAAAAAGAAACTTTAGTCTTTGAAGTATTTTTATGTAAAAGAAGCTTCAGTTGATTAATGAACGTTATCGAACCTCGTTTCATCTGATTTATGAAGTTTTCTTTTCTTTTTTTCGCTCTCTCGTTTCTCGCCATTATTGACGCGAAAAAATTAATTTCAATTAAAACGCGACGCCTTGAAAACTTCTTAGACACGAGATTTAGAGCACGCAAAACAGGCTATGTCGCGAGACATCGCGATAATTGGCGATTCCATTTTTTATCTATTTGCCGTTCATCTCTCTAATTAATTTTTATCGCAAACACTAGCCCACCACCAACAATGAAGCTAGCAAGCAAGCGGCGGGTGTGCAAATTTGTTCTCGTTTCTTGGGTTTTATTTTTTAATATTTCTCCAAGCCCAAGTCAAGCAAAGGCCTGGAAATGAATGAGTAAATAGCATAAAATATATAAAAAAGCAATCATTTAAATCGCAAAATTAAAAATGGAAACAAAAGCAGGTCGACTTTTATATTTAATTGAAAAGTATTTCATTCGAAGTTGACTTTCGACCTTTCTCTCACTTTTATTTTTTATTCCTTATTTTGTTCTTTGTCTCAAATACTTCAATTTAAATATTGCTTAATCAATGAGTTCTTTGCCATCGCACAGTGATTTTTAATTTAAGATTCCTTCATTTCAACGCCACACACATTCTTATGCGAGAAACGTTTCAACAATTTTCGGTCAAACATTCGATTTAAGGGGGCGAGATTCAACAACGTTTGATAGCGGTCCACAGTTAAACTCGTCCCAAGGGATACATTGAAATCGTATATACATTTCTTTTTTTGTTCAAATCAACAACCAATAAAAGATATTAAGGGGGAGATGCGTGCCATTGAAATAAATTTTTATTCAGTATTCTGACAACAACTCAATTGCAATTCATTTCTTACGCAACCTCTCGAATCCACTTAATAGTTTTTCGATTTTAAATTGACAGAAAAAAAGAAATCTCTATCGTTTAAATAAATATTTAGTGAGTCAAATAGCGATTCATTGTAAATTTTTGATTTTTAAGACTTCAAAATTTGAACAGGAAACTATAAAAAAGTCTACCATTACAAATTTATCGCTTTTAGAGGAAGCAGTAAAAGAATTGCGTGGAAATATTTACAGTGCTGTTAATAAATATTTAAATTATCACCAAAACTTATGTTCAGTGTCATGTAAACATGACTGGAAGGGAAGCGGAAGGTTTTCACTGAGATTAAACTCTGATGATTGAAATGAATGCAAGGGATTTACATTGTAATCAAACAAGTTCATCAACATTGTCGTTGGGTAAATGTGATCAATCATTCTTTGCTTCTAATCAAAATATCTTCGTCGTTACACCATGCGACATCGAAAAATTGATTCAACCAACATCATCCCTTCAATCATCTCAAATATAAAAAAACAGAAACTTTTCTAAGTATTATTTTATTTGAGTCGAGGCGATTGTGCAAACATCCCCTTTTATCCCTGCTATCAATCCTTTCAACGCTTCTCTCTCTCTCTCTTTTTACCTCCCCCGCACATTCACATTATACAGAAACGAAAGGGGATCATAGAAAATTTATTTTATAGCAATTTTGTTTCCTTTTTTACTATCATCCAACAGCAACTTAATAGAAAACAAATCATTTCGACATGAGTTATGAAATTAGAAGGATTTAAAAAGAAAGTTGCTGTTCTTTCTTTGCGAAATGAAAATAAAACTTTTTCTCTTTCTTATTTTTGTTGGCAAGCATCAACCAGCATTTTATGTTGAGATAACATAAAATGAATGTTGGTAGATTTAACTTACATTTGAGTCATTCAATCCAGGTCAGACTCACCCTTAAGTAGTACACTCAAATCACATTTCAGAAAGACACTAAAAAATGAAATAAAATTTAAGACTTGAGTTCTGTATTTATGTTAGTTGTTGGTTGGAGGTTCATAACTCTTTGTTTTTTCGTACCCATTTCTGACATTTATCCAGAAGGAATAAAATATGAACTTATGAAGCAAAAAGGAAAAGGCAGAGAATCTTGTTGAATCACGTGAAATCAATCGTGTGGCTTTTCATGAGATCTCGTATAGACCGCAGATATGTATAAAGGAAAGCTTAAGGGAAAACAGAGTAAGAGAGAAATTATATAACCACATTAAATTGATTTATGGAAACCCCTTTTATCAAGGATAAAATTTATATCACAAATTCAACAATGTCTGCTAAATTTTCAATTGCTTTAGCTCTTTAGATCAAGATCAAAGGGCCGCTCCTAATTGTTGTGAATGGAGAAGAGAATTATATTTATTTATGCCGGTTTGAATATCTTTAAAGCACCCTTTGAAAATGGAGTCGAAGCAGTAACAAGTTTAATGCGACTAATGAGAGAATTTTTGGTTTGAGCATTTATGCATAAATAAATGATGATTCCGGTCGTAGGCAATTAGCTAACTCAAGCACAAAACTCGCATCGTTAATGACATTTCAAAGGAATCTGAATTTCATGAACATTTCCAAAACTTTTTTTATGGCTAATACTAAATATTACGATTGAAATTCACCTCGACATCGAATCCAAAAATTGAATGCACTTATAAATGACATAATCAAAAATCCATTTGTGATTCCATTGTAACATGCAAATGCTTTTTTGCAGGTGATTCTGCATCCAATATATATTTAAATATTCACAATGCATGAGCTTAACGTTGAATGTAGTACGATGTATGACAAAATGCATAATTAAATTTTCTCTCTGTAAAGCCATTATTGAAATTAATATTTTTTCCACCTGCAACTCATCTGAAATAATCGAAAAATTTAAATTTCGCTCAGTATTTAAAATATTTTGACGCATGAAACGAATTGAGGGGAAAATCTGGAAAAAATTTCAATAGAACCCACGTTGATGACGAGTAGAGTATTACGACAGAAAGTCCTTTTCCTCCAATCAATGAACATCATATTAGCATAAAAGCTGAAAAAAGATATGACGTGCGTCACACATTGAAAGCGATTGAAAAATTTATTGCTAATCGAAGGTTGAGAGAAAGCAGGTAAAAACACAATAAATTTCCACAACAACAAAATAAATTCCATTTCCCAAGCCGCTTTTCCTTTCCTTTTCTTCACATTATTCATCTGCGTGTGCCATTTATGTCAAATAAAGAAATGAGCTGAATCATTTATACCCTTCGCCTTCTAACAAACAACAAACTTTCACGACAAACAGTTTTGTTGCTGTGCAAGAAGCTCATTCATTCCTTTCAAGAACGAACTTTCGATCGAAATGAAATGAAAGAAAAATAAATTGAAAAACAATACATTCGAATTATGAGTGAGTGGCACATATTGCATGAAAGTTTGAAGAGAAAATCATAAATTGCGATGTTATGTATTCATATCTTCTTCTTCTTGTTTTTCATTTCTTTTTCACGAATACGGAAAATTTCTTTTTGTTGGAAAAACATCACCATAAAAGTAAATATTTTCTCATTCGTAGCGTGACGTCAAGAAAGATCGAGGTATGTATGTTTATAAAATGAAGAACACGCAAGAAGCTTTTTAACCATGATTGAATGAACGTTAACTTTTCTTGTTCCATCAATGACTTCCGATTCCGAAAGAAAAAACAGAAAAGAAGGAAGAATAATGAAGACATTTTGAAAGAAAATATTGATTTTTAATTATGGAAATATTTTCATTTTACTGGCAATGAACTTCTTAAGTCTTTTAAAGAAAATCACACATCGAGTTTCCCGAAATATCTTCGCTTTCGTGTGAAAAACCTTTTTCTTCATTAATTTCCATTTCGTGTCCGTTCCGCATATGCTTTAGTTTCCCATCACCTAATTATCTACAGCTCGAAAGTGATTGATTTATCGATGCATTAAAATTCTCAGCTTGTCTTTATCTTTATTTTTAGACTCTGAAGCTGGAAATGTTTCCCATCAGCCGGTTTCTTCAAGGTAAATTTATTAAGGTTGAAGAATTGAGATGTAAATGAAAACTTGGATGATTAACAATTCTTGTCGGAATAATAAACTTGTCTGATGAGAATTATGCATAAAAATAGATGTTGGAAAACTTTCAACGCTAACCAGCAAATGAAAATAGTTTTTATGCAACATAAACAAACCTGTCATCGTCAAAGTTCATAGAGGATTGCAACACTTTCCGGGCAATCAAAAACATTCTTTATGATGTCTGAATGACGATATTTTGCAGTATTTTGTTGCAGCTGTGAGGTTATTTCACTTCAATAACGAATTGACTCTCTCAACAAATGTCATTGCGGACTTGAGATGGCAGAAATAAATGAAATCATCAGACGTTACATTGTTGCAAGCATCGAAAGAAGAAAAAAAAATATAAAACTGCTGTCGTTTGAAGTTTCTTCTTTTTCTCATGTTTTTCTCTTTGATCGAATTCGATTGAAAGTTTTCAACTTTAAAGTTTTGTAATAAACCCATTGAACTACATCAGGGCGAATGAATAAACTTTGGATATTTATTTCACTTGACAACCCAAAACAAGGATACAAAAACTCTTCTGATAAGTAACAAGAAGCTTTTAAAGACTTCATTTTATGCAAATCTGCTTTCCTAATAGCAAAATGATTACCTTTTTAGCCGAATTTAATTTCCTTCACCGTTTTCTGTGAAGGCTTACAGAGAAAAGTCCTTCAACATTAATTTTACGATTTGTTGCCCAAAAAAACAAAACCGCCTACACAGCAGTTCAGCAACTTTCGAGGTCTAACAACAGTAAAAGGTTGTCTTGTAAAAGAATTTCAATCTCTGCACACAACTCGTCGAATATTGATCGGAAATGAATTTAAAAGAAAACTTGAGATGGTTTCGAATCACGTTGAAATGAATAAATTGGAATGTAAATTGGTTTCTTGAATAGAATCTTAAAAATATCTGATATCTGCAACATCTACTTGAATTATTTATTCAATAATGTTGATCAGCAGAGACAGAGAAAAGAAGTCTCGACAATTACTCGATGCAATGCAAAACAAATGCCTTGAACATGACAACAAATTGAAACATATTTTTCATACTTTTCAAACGTCGCCTTAACTTCTCATCTTTGAAGTTTCTTGTCTCAATTTCTTGCTACTTTTTTTCTTATTTTGGATCGTGAAGTAACATTTCAAGTAAACTGGTTTTCTGGTCACTCAGACGATGAATGATTAAATATGAGACTGACTACTTTTGCTAGGCAAGCAAAAGTAATTTATCAACTTTACTTGAATGTCTTGAACTTCATGAGCGTCGCTTTGTCCGAGATATTCAATAGTCGAACTAGTCGAAAGTGTGTTAAATCATATTCAACTGTCCAATAGATCAAAATTCGTCGTTAACTTTTTCCAAGCGATTGCTTTCAATGAACTTACATCACACATTCACTTCCTCAGATGAAAAGAGAAAAAAAAGTGGCAAACATTCTTTGGATTCCAGTTCAACGCTTTTATTGTTAACTTATTTGTTAATATGCTTAATCATGCTCTTGGTAATCTTCTCAGTGAACGAAGTGTAAACATTTCCTTCGTACCGTTCCAAAAGCATCGAAAGGGACGAAAACTTCAACACGAATCTCACTTCTTTCTCGGGTTTGGACCTTTTATAACAAATGAAGTGAAGCATCATCAGAAAGCGTGTCATGGTTGGAAAAACATCTGAAACTTTCCCTAAAAAATTAAGAACCTCTCATTTCAACCTTAAATGATTTTGGAAGCTTTCAAATTTCATTAGTTAGAAATTTCAAAATAAACCTTCATTTGAAATCAATAACAGTGCTGTGGGGCTTCTTTTTTATTGTCTCTAAACCGATTGTCGTCAATTCTGCTTTAAAGTTCTTATGACACTTGTGCTTGAAACAATCAATAATAGAAAAATATTAATAGAAGTGAGGAAATTCATTCAATCGACTATGAATGAAGATTTTAAATAACGTCAGCTTTCATTACAACACTCGTCACTTCAACATGCTACATCGTTATCAATTTTTCTTTCTTTTAAATTTCACAGTTCAAAGATTGTCACGCAATGTGGAAAATAAATATAAAATTATCAAATTAAGCGATAGAAGGTTGTCATTGAACAACGCCAATGACATAAAAAGACAACAAATTGTCTTCGCAAATGATCATAACTTTTGCTGTTTAATGGAAAATCCTCAAGTGTCAATTTCTTTTATGTTAAATTGTTGTCATTTAAGCTGCGATGAGTTTCCGGTAACATTTACGTTCTTCTTTCTCCGTTTCATCGTAATCAGTTTATGGAGTTGAGTTGACGAATAGAGTATTGATCACGACACTCTTGACATGTTTCAATGAAACTCATGATTGCTTTATCTTGAATGAAGAAATTGTGCTATCGTTAGTTCAAGCGCAGCATGACGTCAAAACTTTTGAAATTTCCGCATCTAATCTCGGTAAGTGAAACAAACACAAAAAGAAGAAAATTTTAATCTTGAGTGTCGGAATGTTGATGAGTTTGCAAGAATGAGAAAACCCAAAAGATTTGGCAAGCTTCTATCGACCAATTTCTGAAAGCTTTGTTTGTATGTTCGGTCAAGTCAGCTACTTAAATATAAAGTGATGAAACTTTCATCAAACGAATAAAATCTCATCAGCAGAATTTTTAACATAACATGGAGAAGATTTAATTAAAAAATCTTGTTAATTCCCTCTACTTTAGACTATTCCATCACACCAACAAATTATTGTGGAAGAATAACATAAAAGTCTGAACTTGACAGCAACGTGACGATGAAATTTATGGGCTTTGTCAGTCAGGTAGAATTTCCTTTCTAAAATATCTCCAAGCTGAGTTGAAGTTTTTCGCACCTGATTTAATTTTACTGCTATCATTATAATGAAATAATGAAACAGAGTTAAGCATCGTAGATTAATTAAATTGGAGAGAAAAGAAAGATTTATTGCCATGGCATTGATTTTTCAATAAAGAAAAGCCACAAAAATTGTTCAAAGTTTAGTTGGAAAAGTGTTTCTCATGTCACTTTCATTTGTTTTCTCCCTCAACTCATCTCACAACTTTTATGTAATCGCATAAGACAATTCTCAAGAAAACAAGAGATAAATTGCTTAGAAAGCCTCTTCTTCAATCAAAAGATGAAATTTTCTCTGTTAATGTCACATCTTCCTTTCGCATCGCAATAGAAATCGGGAGACAATCGCAATCTTCGCAAATTGGGAAAAGTAAGTAAGTAGATATCATGAGATGAAGTAAGAAGAAGATTTACAAGAATGAAATCTGTAATTATGGAATTATGAACGAAACACAAATGCGGGGGATGAAGAGAAAAGTTTTTCCTTTCCATCGAGTTAAGACATGAAGATTCGCGCGATAGGGAAAGAGAAAATTTTCCCTCGCTTTAAGATGTGGCCTGAATACTTCACCGTAAAATGTGAACAAAAACAGCGAATTCATCACCCGCGAACATAATTTATTATCATCAAGGATGTTTGTTGATCAACAAACACTGAGATGAAGATAGAAAAAGTTTCGAGTGAATTTTAAATCTTTTGGTGAAATTATTTTGAGTGGAAATTACTTGGGAATAAGAGAAAATAAAAAGAAAAAAGAAAACAAAAGAATAGAAAATAAATTTTCTTGTTCATTCCTCAAGGGTGAAAACTTCGACTTGAACGAATTTGTAATTAGAAATTAATTAAAACTTGATGGAAATTATGTAAAGACACGTAACTTTGTTGCAGAAAGCAAGACAAAGACGATTGGCTCCAACGTTCTTAAGCACGGGAAAGCACGTGCTGTACATTCATAAATTTTCTTCCCGAAAGCGAGAAAGCCAACAAGAAAAAGCTTACAAGACATTCATTAAATCGAGTGAAAATATTTACAAGGAAGCATAAAACTAAACGTTCAAATCGATTCACTAAGATTAAGTCGTGTTCACAATTTGCAAAAAAGCTTCCACCTTCTTTCAAGTCAAATCATGTCGCTCCCAATTAAGTTGCTTAATTTATTGATTAAATTCTTTCCTTTCCCCTCATTTCAATACTGATTAGCATCGACGATGAGCGCGCTTTTATTCCAAGGTAAATTTCGCCATTTCCAAACCCAATTTTAATCGATTTTCTCGAAATCTTAATGAGCTAAATGAAAATATTATTATGAGAATACTAATGGACTCTGAGATTAAGTTTTCCTTCAATTTTCGTTATTGTAATAAAACAAATTTAATTCATCAACATCAGGTGGAGGTGATGGCGCTTGCCTTTCACCTTCTTGTGCTTTTGCTTTGTTGCTTTGCTCCCCTTCATTCTGCATTGACTTGGAAAGTTAATTCATTAGAATTCCCCTGTTGATTTTACCTTCTTCCATCCACTGCTCCCCATTTGTTTTTCTTTTTGATATTCTTGTGTCTTCTCTCTTTTTATCCCTTAAATCTGTTTATTTTTATTACGTTTGTGATTAAGCGCCTTTTAATCCCTTCGGGATAAAGTCACTTTACTTCTCATTCTTATGATGAATCAATCAAAACAGCACACACAGAGAAACGGAATTTTATGATGCAATCAACACATGCTTCAATTAGTAAATTAATTTCGATAATTGCCTATTTGTTCAAGCATAAAGAGATTCCTTTAATCTTTTCAATTACTTCGATTCGATTGCAACAAAAGTGGGGGAGTAAAGAAAGAACAAGAAGCAAAGTTTTAATTTCACTCAATTCCATTTCAATGCGTTTGGTGGTAAATTTCTCATACTGAATGAATATTTCTTCTTATTTAATCCACAAGATTCTTGAACAGTCATGAAAAATGGTTTTAATCTTCAAGTACCAAAGAGGGAAAACAAACTGAGACATTAAAAATTCATGAAGCCTCAAAGGCAAACGCTCGAAGTCCATACATTCGAGTATGAGAATTTCATTTCGTTTTTGATCATAACAAATGGAATCGTGAGAGGAAAAGCATCTCCCATTGTGCGTTTCATGTTTGACCTAATTTTCCATTCTTTTCTTTTCTTTCCTCGATTATCGTAATGCAAGTAGCAACGAGGGTGAACAAAAGGAGAAAAACCAGAGAAAGAATGATGTGAATGTCGGTGTTCATAAAATATCATCATGACTGCAAATTACTTTTGACATGATTTTCTTTTGTTCACCATCTAGTCAAAGCTTTTTTTTTTTTTCAGGATACACAAAATAAAAACCTCAAAAATGCTGCTGTAGCAATTGGTTTAAGTAATGGAAATGATTTTTCATTTCTCCTTTTTAATTTTATTGTCAAACACTCAAACAATGTACAGAACTCATTGCTCAATTCAAAGGAAAGTGTTTTGCAATGAATATTTAATTGCTGATTAACCCAGATTTAATCTCTTTTAAACATAAATTTATAGTTCCGCCCGCAAAAACCCCCCAAGCAATTTCATGAAATGAAAACAAAAAAAGAAAATCGCTCAATTACAATTACGGGAGGAAGAAATTGAAAATTATTTTCAACGATGATTTTTTTACGAGGCGATAAAATTAATTCAAACATTTTTCTGTCGCGTTCAACCAATTGCCATTGCTGAAAATAGCTTCAACATGGCAGAATTTTTATCCGCAATTTCCACAACATAAATACATATTTAGAAAACATAATTAGAAATTCAATTATGAATCAACAACCTTCCTCATCATTGAAAACGAAAACCAATCAAGTTTAAATTGAGAAGGAAACCTTAATAATCTTACAAATGTTTTCTTTTATTCATTTTATCATCCCCACGTTTTTCTCTTTATTGAAAACAGAATTTTAATTGAATTTTCATAGGAAATTAATAATTCATTCTTTAAAAAGGTACAAATCCGATTCAAGTACACAAAAGCGAATGTTTTTGTTGAGCTTTACAATTGTTTTGACAGCGATTTCAATTAATTGTCCAACTTGCCAGTGTCCGACAAATCACTGAGAAAGTTAAAGCCAAGCAGGAACTTTTGGTTTCGCCACATGCATCAGAACTTACAATCATGATTCGTACACTAAATAAACCACACATGAAATAAAAGTGAATAAAAACCGGAAGACATTTTCATTGCATTGCAAAGGAAAAAATAAAGCTCAACACAATGTGCTGGAAGGAAATTTATTTTCAACACAATCTAAAATGCAAAACCGGAAAACTTCACAGGATAAAGTGCCTCTCTCTCTCACTCACTCTGAATTAAACTTTTTATGCCATAAAGTTTGAAAACAACTTTTCTATTTCGATAAATTTCCAATTTAGATTTTTTGGAATAGTTGGACGAATGTATCAAGTCGAGAAGTAAAAAATTTAAATAACTGACAATGGAAAACTTTTCTTTTCATTCTCCTGAGTTTTGTTATTTAGCTTTGATTGAAAACAATTGAAATTTGTTTGGCTTAAGTGAGTGAGAATGCTTTTTATTTTATTCTTGTCGGTGGAGAAGTGAAACGTTTTCATTTCCCTCGAGTTGTTTCCATGCTGCGATAAGTTGAATGAATTATGAATTTTTCAGGAGCTTTATGAAAAACATTTTTTCGACATTGTCAGTCCGAAAAGAATTTCACATGAAATATGAATACGTTCAGTGCATTCTCGCTGTCGCTCGCTCGCTTACAACGATGATGAATTTTTGGCGAATGGCCAGCACATGAAATTCGTTTTCTTTACGTTTAGAATAATTTAACCGACAGAGACGAGTGACTTAATATTCAAATGATTGCTTTTAAATCACATTAAGATGAATTTTATGGGAAGAAGTGAACATTTGAAAAAGAAAACAATTTTTTGAGAGGCATTTTAATGTTGGCATCGATTATCAGCCGAAAAAGAAAAATAAAAACGATGCCAATGAAAACTAAAAGCTCTTGGTGAGAAATATGATGCTTCTACCTCATCTCAAATGTTTGTTAATCGATGATATATTCGCTTTGTCATTCGCCTTCAAAAAATATTTTCGTCAATTAATACAAAAATTATGATTGGTCGAAAAACATATAAATTTCAGTCATCATCAAATGCTTTCATTAGTTAAAAGCATCGGTTTCCATTTACATTTGACATTCATAAATAAAACGAATTTGAATGATGTCATAACAATAATAATGAAAAGAAGAAACTTTTCCCGGACAAAGCTACGAGTGAGAAAATTGAGCAATATTCAAATGGCAACATCTCGACTGCATCATCTGATGCAGCAGATTTTTAGTCTCCAAATGGCGAACGTTCAAAGCTTAGCATTTTTTATTATTTCCCATTTTCCACTCGAATATTCACGTTTAATTGTTATTTCATTTATTATTAAAACGTGTCGAAGCGATAGCGAGTGTATGAGAACAGTTCATTCATTCGCTAGTTGGGAATGCAACGCTCAAATTAAAATTCCCACTTGAAAGCTAATTTTCTTTTCGGTTGTGCTTTTCTCCTGCTGGTGAGCTTAATTAAACCTATTTTTCACGCTCATATAAAAATCCTTTTTCCCTTTTCAAACTCATTACATGGAGCCGTCAAGAGTTGAAATTTGAAACAGGCGAAATTAGTTTTCATTTTCCTTTTGTTGAGTGAGAACTTCGCTCTCCCGTCAAACGTCGTTTTAATGAATGTTTTATCACAAATTTATCTAGAATCGTATCATGGGAGTTTATCATTAAGCCTAAGGACGCTCAAAATACAAACCAAAGTTACGGGGATCAAACAAAAAAAGGGTCAAATTTGCATTATTCATCTCACCGGAACCTGAAACCGTCAGTTATATAAAACATGAGGTTTGAGATCAAAAATCTAATTACTCTACCGAGATGAGACATTTAGTTTCAGTATCATGATTATCATTGTGCAATGGCATAAAATTTTAATAAGCAAATCCAATGTTGATCCAATTGCACAGTAAACTTTATGAACCAACTTGATGTCGGATTTGGAAAAGGGTCAAAATATGAAAATAATGTGAGTCAACTAAGTGATAATCTGAAAGGTGGAAAGGAATTGCATGACGACTTAAATCCTCTACAAACATTGAAAACATTTATTTTCTTTCAGTAGCAGTTTGAGATTGTGGAATGAAAGGAAAGGAAACGCTACACCGTTAAGCTTTATTTCCCACCCACGCGAAAAGGTTATAATGACAGTCATCAACCTTGATACGCAATAATTTTTTCACGTTAATCTTCACCCAGTTTAGTGGTGAAATTATTTGAATTTGATTAACTTATGTACACACACACACATAGAAACAGAAAAAAAAGTCATAAAAAATTATTATGATGATGCCAACACTTGAGAAATCAAACAAATGATGTAGTCAGTCATATTTTTATTTATAAGCAATATAAGTAGATATATTTAGACGGGATGGGATGAGAAAAGCGCATTAATAATAATAAAGAAACCGATGAAATAATTTTCCACGTGTAATCAAATTTTTCATCGTTAAAAGCGAAACATTTATCTAGTGTCATTCAAGCACAATTTATCAAAATAATTGATCAACTATCTCTAATCGATTTTCATGCTATTGTGGTTGATGAAATTAATTATTTTCTGTATGCACATTCAGAGGAAAAATCATTCAGATAAACAAATGGTGGCAATGAGAAACATTTTTCTCTCATGTCGCAATATCAGTTTTACTTAATTAATTTTCTTTTTCTTCTCTCTTAGGCATAATCGTCTCGTCTTTCGTGAGTTAGGCTTGTTATGCACAATCTCATTTCATAATCAAAATATTACTAAGAAAATTGAATGAACGATACAAAAAGATTGCTTTGGCGAATGTTTCTCAGATCTAAAAGACTTTCACTAACCAGAATTTGACTGTGCTGCGTTGCCAGATCTTTTATCATCATAATCTTTTGAGCGGTGAACAAAAGACAGATTAAGGATTGAATTGTGAAGAGCGAGATGTATTCATTCTGAAGAATTTCTCATCAACAAAACTCAAATTGTAATGTATGAAATGAAAATCCACTTCAAAGAAATTTTTTGATAAATAAATTAGATCGAATGAAAAAGATTCTTTGACTCGTTTCTAATGAAGTTTGAAGTTTATGAGAAAAGGAATGAAAATATAAAAAATAAAACGAAATGAATGAAAAGGAAATCGCTTTAGAATGAGTAATGTTACTCGGAACAGAATATCCAAGAAGGTCGACTTTCATTATGAAGGCTAAAAGATATATTTACAAACGGATAACAAAACGAAAAAAATACTCCGACTATTTATCAGGTTTCAGTGAACTGACGTTCGCTTAATTTCGATTAAGTGAAGAGAAAAATATAAAATTGGATTCTCCAGAATATTGTTGACAACCACGATAAGATAACAGGTCGTGGATTAGCTTCTACATATTTCCGTGTTTCATTCAACTGTGACTATGACTCAACTTCGACCCTGACATTTTCATTTCTTCTTTCTCGTCGCACTCAAATTTCACCTTAAGCGATCTAAATCTGTTTTTTTTTTCAAACCAGAGCAACTCTCAATTTTATCGTTGTTAACTGTTAAGGTAATTGCGATAATAAAGTCGGGAGTTAAGAAAAATGGAATGTTCAACTGCAACAGATGGAAGTTGTAGACATTTCTAATTAGTCGGTTATTTTCTCTCTTTCTTCTGCTTCTTAGACAACATTTTTCTTCTGCTGCTACTGTCATGTATTTCAAAAAATGAGCTTGTATTGGAAAAGCAAGATCGTATGATATTCTTAGAATGCCGCGGATTTATAATTAATTTCAATTTCATGTCTTTTTGTGCCTTTTCCTGAGTTTATTTGTCCCCAAGACGAACTCATAATATCAACACGTGCAACAGCTTTTTCGTTTCATTTAATATTTCCTGTTCTTTTTATAAGTTGCTCTTTCATAAATATCCATAATTATTATTTTCTCCAGTACTGTTTAATAAGCGAGGTTCATTCAAATGCATTGCACGGGAGGGGAGACATACAGTCGACAAAATGTTACGCAAAATTCACGAGAATATAAAAATAAAGTATTTTAATAGCTACTGTGAAGTTTAAGTATTTATAAATAATGAAAATTAATGGATCGAAACTCAATAAACAGTTGAATGTTGCTTGAACTCTAATCAAAACAATCATCAAATGCTTCATGAAGGATAGGCTTGTGATGATTTTATTGAGATCAAAATAAGCAAAACGAAAGAGAAAAGATGAAGAAGATTCGCTGCTGACGAAGATATTTTTATGATTGAAATTGAAATTCATTTCATGAGCATTTAGTTTGGGAACATTTAATTCCGCAAAAAAAAATTGTTTAGATTGTGGGTGTCACTTTAACGGACAGCTTGTGTATTTTTTTCGTATGTCACAAGCTTTTAAGTGAGAGACTGGTTTTCAGTCATCATGTGAACACTTAAACATTTCGTAATGACGTCACAAATGATAAAATATTACAATTGTTGAAAGAAATGCACTGTTTTGAAATTTATTATTATCGCAATTGAAAAGAATGTCTTTACATATCCCAATAGTACTTTGACGTCATAGAATGATAAAGCCGACAAGAATTCATTTACACAATGCATTTTTCACGATTTATGAAGTGAGCACGAAATTTTAAACAATTCTAGCCACTTACCTGTAGTTGAACTTGTCGTCATTTTCAAATTATTACTGCTAGCTGTTTGCTTATCCATTGTTGAATACATTTTTGACTATCCTGATAACTTAATCAAATTGAAAATCTTTTCCTTCTTTTGTGTTTTGAACAGGGCAGGGAAAAATTAATATAAAATTGAAAAATATTCACAAACTACTGGCAAAAACACACTTCAGATCAATTCGCTATAAACTATTACACTTTATAATAAGAGATAAGTTGTTTGTATACTATAAAACACTCTCGTTTGCATTTAATTTAATTCTTTGACCGATTAATTTAAAATATTTTGGACAATTTTTGTCGACTAAATATGTATTGTATGATTTCATAAAATATGTCACAACTTTTATCATTTTCGAAATTGTATTTTGATTCGAAAATGACATTTGGTATCACTTATGAATAATTTCTGTTTCGAAAGGTTTGTGTATTCGCTAACATTTGAAATTCTTTTTTTAACCGTTAAATTGTTGATACATCAAATGAAAGAAAAATTTGTTGCAATTTTCTTTAATTGCTAAAGGACTTTAATGTGAATGATTTTTTCTTGCATGTTTCACCATCTCATGTTTCATCGCATTCATAAACGCTCTTTTCCATCCTGAACTTTGGAGTAGATGGAAATGAGTGTGTTAGAAACATGAAGTTTGGACTGTAATTGAGTGCAAATATGTTGTTATGAAAACTATAGTTGTTCGGTTAATGAAGTATGTATTGGCAGTGCAATTATCTTTCTTGATATTTAACACAAGAAAAAGTTTCTCGTTGAACCATTACTTTTTAAGAACTTGAACAGTTCACACGTTAGTTTTTTCAATTAATAATCAAATAAAAGTTCGTGTAATGTCTCATTATAAATTGAGCGAAAAAGAATTGGAAGAAAAACTTTCAGAACTACAGAATTTGATCAAGTCACGAAAGAACTTGCCTGAAAATATAAACGAAATTCTTTTAATGAGGCTCTTGGTGTTTTATAATGGAAACATTGAAAAAGCATTAATGAGATTGATAGCGAATTTCGAGTTGAGAAAAACTTATTCAAATATTTTTTACAATCGCGACACTCTCAATCCTCAGTTACGAAAACTCATCAATCAAGTGTATGGAAGATAAGAGAAGATAATATAAATATAAAATTAAGTATTTCAAAATTTTTAGAGAAATGGTTTTGCTGCCAAAGGTGACAAAAGACAATAATAGGATAATGACATTACGTTTGATTGACTATAACCCAGATCAACTTGTGTTTGATGATGGTTTAAAAGTTTTCACAATGGTTAATGACACCTTTATTAAGACACAAAATGAGAATGCCAAATTCGCAACTGGTGAAATTGTTGTTTTTGATTTGCAAGGATTAACAGCGCGACATGTAACAAGAATGGGAATTTCATCATTGAGATGTTTCTTAAAATATATGATCGATGCTCATCCAGTCAGAATCAAGGAAATTCATGTTGTCAACGCTCATTCATTACTTGATAAGCTGATGTATATGTTGAAACCTTTCATTAGTGCCCGTCATCTCAAAGTAATTCATTTTCATTTGCCCAACTCGACAACTCTGTTTGAATATATTCCGCGAGATATTTTACCAGAAGAGTATGGTGGAACATTTGAATCAAATGAGTCTTGGAGATGGTTTTGGATTCATAAATGTGAAGAAAATAGGTTTTTGTTGTGTTTATTGATTTAATATTCTCATACATCAGCTGCTAACATATTCTTTGTTTTAGGGATTATTTACTTGATGACAAGCAATGGATGATTGAAGATGACAAGGAAAACGAAGTTAATTCGAGTGCCATAGAAGACATTTCGATTGAAAATGCTTTCAGTTACATGGGATTTTGTTAACTTCCTTAAAAACTTGAAACTGTCATCTGATTTTGAAATCATTTATCGTTTCATCATCACCGGCCGGTCATTTCAAAATAAGCTAGTAAATTTTTGGCACATCAAAATCTATGTTAGTAATGGTCATTGATTTGAATAAATTGTTCCGGGCGTGGAACACTTAAACTTTAAACTCTTGTAGTGGACTGGTGAGTACTTGTCGTTGTTAATCAAAAACTTTTCACTTTCAGATTGACGTTATAATTTTATTCTTCGGTGTAAATGATGATAACAAAAAAAAACCCTAAATGAATGTTTAATTAATGTAACATATTTGTTTGTTGCATGATTTTTGTTTCTTACCGTCAAGGGTTTTTAATATGTTCAACAGCAAAAGAATAAGTGTGAATGTAAGAAATTGATTTGGATGACTTGTGAGCTGTTGAAATATTCTAATGAGCATGTTTGTTTTGTAAAAGATTTTAGTCATTTTACCTTTGTTTTGTGTTGTAAGAATGCACAGAAATTGATTGAGTGTGATTGACTTGTGTGTGATTAATTAATGTGCCTAAATGCATGAATTTTATAAAATGACTGTTACATGAATGTTTGACTTTTGCTCACCCTTGACGTTGAATTGACAATAATTATTTGTTCAATTGTGTTTAGTTGTTTGAGTGTTTATGAATTAAACTGTGCCTAGAATTTGTTAATTAACGTTTTAGAACTTTAACTTTAAATGTTTGCATGAAAGTTCTCACCCAAATTGGATCATGAAAATTCAACTTTTCAGTGATCGCAATACAATTTGATGAACGTGTGAGAACAAAACTAAATATGAAACTGAATGTTAATTAACTGTGAACATTTTGACTAAATAAGCACTTTTACCTAATTTAACTAACGAATTTGACTAACTTAATAAACTTTGTGAGTGATTGTACAATAATTAATTTGTGTAATGTGATGCGTTGTGTTGTAAAATTTCACTTGTAATGACTTTCGCATTTTAAGGACAATGATTTTATAGTATTTTTTTAACCGCCAAAAATGTTCGAAAAGTGTTAAAAAGCAGAAGAGTGCACCATCTCATGTTCGGTCAGAACATAAATGATAGCTTTGTATGCTAAAATTTATTTATAACGTTGATTCGATGTATAATACATAGTTAAGGAACTTTCTTCATCATTTTGAGCCACACCTCCATCATAACCTTTCCCAACACAAGAAATGATTATGTCAAACGAATGTTCAAACTTCAGTTCATATCAAACTCTTGGTTGCATCGGACATAAATTTTTTTAATAAAGTTTGTTAGTTAAAAATGTCTCGAAAACATGCAAATTTGAGTGACGATGAAATAGAAGATTTGATAATAAAGTTTCAAGATTGGATTAAAAATCAGCCTGATATGCCACAAAATTTAGGTTGGTAAAGTTAATGAATTTGCATCTCTGATGTATTTACGTGATTTATGATAAATTTTGTCTCTAGACAAAGTTCTTCTTGCGAGATGTTTGAAAATTTATTCGTTCCGCTTGGAGAAAGCACAACAACTTTTAAAACATTGCATACAGTTGAGAAAGAACAGTCGCTGGTGCTTTACCAACAGAGACCCATTGCAACCGGAGTTGAAATATGTTTGTGAAACTATGTAAGTTTAATGTTTCATGTTATGTTAAAAGATTATTTTAATGAAAAATGTTTTAAAAGTGACATGGTACAACTTCCACAGCATACTAAGGAAAACTTCAAAGTTTGCGTTTATCAAATAGTTCACAACGATGGAAGTAAAATTGTTTTTAATGATTGCATCAAAGCATTCTTCATGGCATGTGATGTTCGTTATGTTCAACCATTAAGAAGCTATCAACATCTCGAATCTGGTGAAGTTATAATTTTTGACATGAAAAACTTAACTTTAACGCATTTAACAAAAATAAATTTGTCAACATTGAGAATGTTTTTTAAATATCTTCAAGATGCGCATCCAACGAGAATTGTTCAACTTCATGTCATTAATTGCACTCCATTAGTGAATAGAGCGATGACTTTGATTAAGCCATTCATTTACGAAAGGCTTTATAATTCTCTTAAGTTTCATATGGCGGGCTCTTTAGAAAGTTTATACGAATATGTTCCACGAGAGATTCTTCCAGTTGATTTTGGAGGTGACGATAAGTCAATGGCTGAATTGAAGCAGTATTGGGTTGATATATTACTTCAATATCGAGAATTCCTCTTGGACGATAATTATTTCAACCTAGATCATGTTGATGTAACGACGAAGAGCTCGAAGGGAAAAGAAAAAGTTGGAAGCATTTTCAGCTTTCTTACATCATAGATACGATCTGAATAAGCTAAATTTAATGACATTTCGCTTCGGGTAATCATAAGAAACTTGAATTGTTACTTTATAAACGTATCTTTATAGTGATATCCATATGAATTATCTTGTATATTATTATTTGCATAAAGTTTATAATAAAAGCATTATTCACAAAAAAAATTATCATTTCATTAGTTTGATTCTGACTAATATTAGTGAGCATAAAAATGAATGAACTAGCGCAATAGGACAAATCTGAACACAGTAAAAATCCATGAAAATTGTAAACATTTTCATGGCTCAAAACTTTTTAGAAAAGTACTTTGAACTGTCTATTCTGCTTCTTGAAAACTTTTGAGCCATAAAAATGTAAAATAGCGAAGAAAACCACATTCGAAATTGTGCCCACAATAATCTTTCATCATAATTCACAAGTTTAAATCTTGGATTTTTTTATTAATTTAAATTTTTTTGCAACTTCATTTAAAATTTCGTTATCATGCAAATAATCATAAAAACAAAAGGTAGCTACAACCCAGGCATAAATATATTGTTGGCATAAATTCATAAACTTCCAGGGATGTGAATTTGTCTTAAATTTTAAATTTTTTAAAAAAATCTTCGGTCAAAATTTTAGTTTTACGAATTTGAAATTTTCAAACAAAAATATTAGAAAAATCATTTCATAAAAACATAAATATTTAAATAAAATTATATAATCGGATGTTAAACTTGCAAAATTCCCAAGAGAGTTCAAAATATTAAAATTCAATTTATTTAAGATAACTGATAGAAATGAAGATTGATATGCCCCAACTGACCTATATTGACATTCAAAATACTTTTGTTTTTATATCTGAAACTGGTTTTCAACACGTCAATCGCGTATTTAGTTCATTTCTAGTTTTAATTAAATAATAACTAACACAAAAGCTTCTTTACAATTTTATATTGTTTTCATTTATCATTCATTAATTTTTTTAAGCTGCCACAGACTGACAACGAACTTAAGAAAACAAGTTAGTCGTTGCAAAATTTAGTGCCGGTTTTATGAAATATTCACAACAATTCTCTGCAATCGGACTCACTGAAAAGCTGCCGCTCACATTTTTATAATTTTTTGAAGTTAGTCGATGAATGGAAGTCGTTCGATGTGCATTAAAAACATTAAAATGGATCCAATAATACTTGAAGAAAGGCTAGAACAGTTTCTAGAGTGGATAAAGGAACAACCTGAATTACCTCAAAATTTTGATAAAATTTTACTTGTGAGATATTTAAAAGCATCAAATTTCGATCTAGAAAAATCTCAAAGTTTGTTGAAAAATAGTTTGTTGATAAGAAAAAAATTTCCGCACATTTTTACTGATCGTGATCCTCTATCGAAAGAAATGCAAAATGTTATTGAAATTGTGTAAGTTTGATGACAGTTTAATTAGTCACAGCAATAGTGTTTTATTAATTTATTCAATCATTCACAGACAACTCGTGCCTATGGTTGAAAAAACTCCAGAAAATTACAAAGTCAGCATCTTTCGATTAACTGACCCCGATCCAGAAAAAATTGATTTCAATCATGTGATAAAAGCTTTTTATATGGCTGCTGACATCAGATTAGCTTCAACAGAAGAAGTGTGGAGTGATGGAGAAATTCCCATCTTTGATATGACAAACATAACATTTAAACATTTCACAAAAATTGTTTTATCAACTCTCAGACTTTTCATGAAATATTCACAAGAAGCTCACCCAGTCATTGTGAGACAAGTTCACATAGTGAATTGTAGCTCACTCATTAACAAAGTGATGATGGTTATAAAACCTTTTTTGAAAGCAGAAGTCGCGGAGAGAATTCAAACACATTTACCGGAATCTGAAACATTGTTCAAATACATTCCTAAAGAAATTCTTCCAAAAGAGTATGGAGGCTTAGCTGGTCCCATCAATAACATCAGAAATTTTTGGATGAGCTATTTAGATTCATTTAGGTAAATAAAAATAAGAGATTTCACTTCAACTTAATTGATATTGCTTTGTTTTAGAAATTACATCATTAACGAAGAAAACTGGCGCTTGAGAGATTAAAATGATTCACATGAGAAATGTGAGGTCAAAAGCAGATTTCTTAAATAAATTTCAAGGTCTGAATTGTTTGTACATATGACTTCCTTCTTATGATAGGTATTAAACTTTTGAAGTAAATTTATAATTATAAAATCGGAGGGGCACAAAAATTGTAAATCGTAACATCAAAAACATTACTTAGCTTTATAAAAAATTATTTGTAAGTTTGCTGTTACGACAAAAAATGATAAAAATAATAAAGTGATCAATTTAAAAAAGAAAAATTGAAAAATTATGTGTTTAACGATGTCATATTATTAGTGAGTTAATATCATGCATATGAAGCATAGACCAAGATAGTAATTTTCTATGTGAATAACGATGACCATATAAAATTATTTATTGGTCAAGCTTAGTTAAATCTTGTACCTGTAATACTAACTTTCTCCATTTATATAAGATTTGTATGGAGAACAATTATGAAAGGGAAATTCTATTTGATTCCTGGAAACAATTTTCCATTTTCCGATAATATTTCGATGAATTTGAAATGAAAGTTCTCAGGATGACAAATCAGAGTAATGAAAGTTATTCTAGGAATTAAAGCCAGCATGCGCCTGCTATGATTTGTATTTTTATCAGTGTTGTTTGAATTTGTTTGACGAATTATTTAAGTCAGAAAAGATATCAAAATTAGCCAAACAGCTGTTTAATATGCAATTTCTCTGAAAGCACTTCAACAGCCATTTCTCACTCACACTTTCACAATGCATGTAAAATTACAATTTTCTCTCTCTCGATCTCTCTCATTTGTGAGAGAATTCACGATGTAAACAAAAGTTTTCTAAAATAAAAATAAACAAATTTGCAAAGTGGT